TAGCCAATATAAACTAATAGCACAGCTAAATTAGACTTAATGATCTTGATAAACACTGACACTCTCTCTCTCTGTCTTTAACAAATTAAAATGACTGGGATCTCTATGCCTGAAATTTAAAATTAGCAATCAATGAATCATTATTCAAATAACATTATATGATTAATAACAATCTTTTTCATAAATTAGTTAGTTCAACACCACTAGGTAGGTAGGTCCTAAGCCTAATGAAAATTTCAACTATTCATGCATAGGAAGGGAAAAAAAAAAAAAAAAAATTATCAGTGTATGATGATAGTATTATAGAGTTATTAGAGCCAACTTTAAGTTACAAAATGAAACTGAAATCAACTTTCTATCTTTTAGTAGGTTTTGAGCTATGCATTTTCAATCTATGAGTTCAATTTTCCTTTTTTAAATTTAACCCAGGACAGTATTTGCACATTATGTGACCCGCTTCAGCTGTTAGCGTCCCACATTATAACTCCTGCTTTAATGATAATTTAAAGTTTTTTTTTATTTTCAGGATTAATGCTATATTTAAAGTACTAATATTAAAAATAATTTTAATAATGTTATGCAATTATAAAAAATTGTAAACTAGCTATGTAGTATGTATTATTAGTATATTTAATCTAAACGATATGGATTTTCTGTTTAGTAAAGCAAAGGCATCCATTATGCTGGTATAGTCTCTATAAGGCAATTCGTCCCCCTATTTAAAACTGGTTGGGGACTACTTATTTTGAAATTTTAGTTTTTCACATGACTAATTAATTTTAAGCTTTCCTTGACTAATGGTTTAAGTTTAATAGTGTTTGCATATGGTAAACTCTTCTGAATGAAACTCTTAGAATATTACTATAGTATAGCCATGTTCAAGTGGCTGTGAGTGGTTGCCCTTGACGTTGGCAAATTATGATAATTTAGAATATGGCCTCCACTGGGTTTTTAAACCTCAAACTAAAATATAACTTTTTAAATGCCTTCTAAATTATTCTAAAACACGGTTTATCAAATATTTTGATGTATATATTGGCATTAATTGAATGTTTCCTAAGTATCAGTGTATTCTTCTATTTAAAAGTGGCGTGGTCAATTCTGTATCGAAAATGGTCTGTGCTGCCGTTGCATAATGTGTTTTATCCTGAGGAATGTGGCAAAAAAGTTTCCTTACCTGGTGCAGTGGGATATTGCACTTAAAATTCAAATACATGTTGTTTAGACAGAAGAAGTATGAAAGACATTAATTTAATCTTTCTACCGAACCATTATATGGACAGATGGCTTATATTGACCTAGGATTTTCCAAATTTAAAGTCCATCGAAAGAAAAAAACTCCATGGGAATGTAGGCCAAGATGTCTATCAATATAAAAGGGCGGAGTCAGAACCTAATTATAGGTCAAAAGGACTCCTTTATTAATGAAATTTATACTGACATGAAAGAATGTATAAATGCTCCAACACCCATTTTACATATAAATTTTAAGTAGACTCCCTTGCTTTATCGAAGTTCCTACCTGGATTGTCAGTTTAGTAGACCATCCAAAGTCTCAAATATTATATGATATGTTAGAATATTGATTTCTTAGGCTTACTACAGCTAACCTAGTCCTAGAACTGCATATTTAGGGGCCATAAATGACATCATACTGGGGGGGGGGGCAGTTATTAAAACCAATTTGTGATGAGGGTATGAAAAATGTATAGCTGTGGTGGGAGGTGGGTATAAATAAGGCAAAATAATGTGACATCATTTACTTGCGTTATAAAAGTCTTTAAGAAAATCATGAAATGAAAGTCCTACAAAGTACAATACTTATAATTATGATGAATGGTAATCAGTGAAATAGCATAGTCATATTTTAAGACAAGGCAATGGGGAGCGAAAAAGAAATCCCCCACTCTTCAAAAATAATAAAATAACTGAATAATTTTAAGTAAATGTATTATATTTATTGCCAGGGTTTTTTAAGGAAAAAGTGCACCTGGGCCCTGACAGGGGGCCTGTGCTCATGTGGCATAAATACCTTATATTACAGAATATAATGCGATTCACATATAATACAAATCCCTAACTTTTGGTTTGAAAAAGCCCTATAATGCCATGTCAACATATAAGGCTATCTGATAATCTTGTTCCATAACATGAATTTTTTCCTGGAACAATGAAACCTAAGGTTATAAAACAGTTAACCTAAATAAATTTTTCATTTCACGACAAACAATATTTTTTTTGCCGGATTTAAATTCAATACATTATAACTTACAGGAATCTGTATTACTAGAGCTAGCTTAATTAACGAATGAATTATCATTAGTTCATCTAAATTACTATCGAATTCATCGTATGAGTCTAATTTAATAAAATTGCTAATCAAAGATGTAAAAATTCAAATGAAAATCAGAATTTAAATAAGTTTCTTTCATTCTGGTATCCATTTATTAGAAAAGATGTGCTGCAGCAAAGAGGCTAGCATTCATTAATTTCTATGTTACTACATTAACATGAAAAGTGTTACTGAGAAATGAACAAAATTTACTTATGCACAAATAATGCCCATCCCTAACTTTACGTAGCATTTTTACCCTTAATTTTTCATTTTATGCAGTGATATATATCTATAAACTGCTTTTTAAATAATAGGAGATCAGGAAGGAGGAAGCTGATATCGAGGTCCTGAAAGAAAGTAAGGAGCGGGGTTAGGAGGGGGAAACTTACTGAACACCTAAACAAATAAATGAAAAAAAACAAACTAAATCATCTACTTTAACTAACTATATACTCATTCGCAGACAGACTTTTAAAAAAACAAATATTTCAACGGAATAAGTGGTGTATTGGGCTTTTGAGGGGTAAATGAAGGAAAAAAGTAATTACATACAGCTGTTTGCAAAATTGGGTCACATGTTTTTTCCTCATTTTGCAACTGCCATGAATAGCTGTGATTAGAGAGTGCCTAAATTGAGTAATGACATTTTTACTGTGGCAGAATATACGCCTGTGTAAAGACATGGCAACAATACATTTCTTTCCTAGTAGTAGGCATCTATTTTTGGAAATGTTCAGTATGCTCACAGTATATTTCATTTGTATTTAATAAATGAGATTACCATGATAAACTAGGCCTTTTGGTTTAACCTTTAGTGTGATTTACTTGTACTTAACCCTCGAAATGTGGCATGCATCATTCTGTGGTGTGGAGCTTTTCAGAGCTTTTTGAGTGCCTTTTGAAATTGCATTAAATGACATAGAAATATTGATACAAGACCCCTATAAGTGTATATTTTTAGAAAGGTAAATGGGTGGGGATAAAGTTGACCATATTGCCCATGACGTAAAAAAAATTTGGGGCAGTGTCCTTGACCTTGGAGTTGTCAAGAAAATAAAAATCTACAAAATGTCTTGCTTTCAAGTGCTCATAACATCATTAATTTTTTTAGATACACTTAAAACACACAACTAAATGTTGTAGCCAATTCATTTATCTATCAGAAAATGTATAGTTTGCTAAGGTTTTGATTGCAAATACACATCTGAAAGCAATTTTAGTAATTTTAGGTCATTTATATAAGAAACTAGGACCACTGCTAAAACCAAGTACTAAATACAAAATCTCAGTCAAAATAGTTATTATTGACTAGTAAACATTTAAAAAGGAACTGTGGAACTGATTTGAGTTGTTAAACTATAAAATTTATTAGTTCTGGTATATAATCTGTAGCTTCTGTGGCTAAAAGTCGGTCAGTCCTTGCCCAACCTCTGGCCTGGCTCGAAGTCAAACAGTAGCCTTAGTAGGCTTACTTCAGTATCACTAAGACTAGTACCCAGATTCACGAAAAGAAGAATCTGAAGTGAGATATCTTGGGGAATGTTAAAATCATCGTCAGTATCACTTATGTTCCTCTCCTAAAAAGCTTTTAAAATTATTTATATTAGTTCTCGCACTGAAGGCCCGGCCATAGCTTCCGCCATTTTTACTTTTTAAAAAACGGCGATATAAAATTCCCATTAAAAAGCACTTATTGTTAAGTTATCAAGAAACAGCTTCACCAGGAAGTTGATTTAATTAATAATAAAAAGCAATGGCTACGATTTTGGTTAAATATTGGATTGGAAGTTGCTATCGGACCGTGATTTTTATCGGCCGATTTTTTTCGGTCGCCACAGCACAGAACGAAAAATATCAGCCGTTTTCGTCAGCCCACCACAGTTCGAGGGTTAAGTCTATTATTTATTAGTAATTAATGGGCCATTATTTTATGCTGCATAGTCATCTTCTATTAATTGTCATTTTTTTTTAGTGTAATAACTTAAAATTAAATTGGCTTACGTAACTGAAATTGCTAACCAATTCAATGAACTACTGTTTCTGATTATTTGAGTTTTAGTAAGTTTAATTCGCCACAAAAATAAAACAGAACAAACATTTTGAAAACATTGATTCGCTATTGAAATTGGTTTTTATAAAAAAAAATTAATGACATTAATTAAGTAAGTTTGTACAATTTTTCAGCAAACTGACATTTGTAAGAAACATAAAAGTGATATTTTCTATGATGTGCAATTATGAAGTGAAAAAATCTTCTGTGGAAATTAATACAAATGTAAATAAAAGATAGCTGTTACTGTTACCGGTACTGAAGAGAATGACATCTAATAAAAGAAGATCAACAAAGATGAAACCAATACGTGAGAAAACACGTAAGTTATTTTTGTTGCTGTTAGTTTAATTTCTACATTTTAAAATATTTTTAATACAAATTAATTCGTTTATTTAATTTAGTGTATGTTTATGATGGTTTATATGAATGTATTTATGTGAAATATCTAATTTTGTCTTTTATTAATAGTGAATTGTCTGTTTACTAGTTGAAACATAAAATTAAATTAATTGTCAAATCAGCATTTACTCTTTGATAAAACTCGCTGTTATTGACATTGTTTAATCTGCAGGTACTAATAAAAGCAGGAATAAATCTGCTATAAGCTCTACTCAGAAACAAAATTTGCCATTGTTTAACAAGCTTATATATATGGATCTCAAGCATGGCAAGCAAGCTGAGCTTATAGAGGAGCAGCTTAAAACACTTGGAGCTGTTAGTACAGTGTTATATTTATTGACCATTTGATTGTGACAAAAATCTCTCTATTACAATAGAATACATTTTTTAGGGTAAAAAAATCATGTTAGAAAATAAAAAGAGTATTAGTGTCTGTTAAATGGTTCCGAACTGTTATGTTGATACGCTTGCAATGATATTTTCATGAGAGTAGCATTATTATTAGTGGAAACGTTCTCCATTTCATTAAGAGGTATTCAAATTTTATGAATACAATTTTCTACTCTCAGATAAATAATAAACTTAGGTTTTTTAAATTTTTCTTAAGTAGGCTTAAAGTCATTGGTAATTTAGAGGTTAAAAGAGAATGAAGAAAATATATTTTGATATAATTTTCTATTTTTTTACTGTTACTTTTTCAGAAAGTTGAAAAATTTTTAAGTAGTGAAGTCAACTATGTGATATCCTTATCTGCACCTTCAAAACACAGTGATAAATTTAATACTTTGGAGGAAAACCCTCAAAGTCCATCCTTCTGCAGCCTGACAAGTCCCTTTAACTGTGGCCCATCTCCAACTGGTCAAGCAGATGTAAAGAGAACAGTGGTAAAAGTTTCTAACAATTTTTAGACCTTCTTTATTAGTTTTTATAGTATTCTTATGTACTTTGCTTCACTATTTTTCCATTTTATTTTAGAGTTCATCAAATTCATTTCCATCCATTCTCATACACAAGTAATTGATTTTCTTTCAACAATTTCAGGTTTCAAGAGGAAAGGCACTAGCACAAATAGCTTGTGCTAAAAGTCAAGTAAGTGGAAAGCATAACAAAAAAAGCATTTGTTGCTACTAGTAGACCATAAACTTTCAATCTATCTAGAGCCCCTTTTTCCAGCTCACTCCACTACTTCCCAGTCTCTTTGTCTTGATGTCTTACATCAGTGCTGTCCAATCTTTAGCTCTTTAAAAAAATTGAACTAATTATACTTTCAAGCACTTTTTAGTGAGATATTTGGGTTTGAATTGTGTTGGGAAATATTTTAGATTGGGCTCTGCATTCAGAGAGAAAGATTGTGACCTCTTCAATTAGATAATATAATATTGCCAGTACTTTCACTTTGCCCAGCCAAGGAACATCAGTATCTAGAACAAAAATCACAAAAATTTTGTTAACATTTAATTTTGTTCACATTTTTCAATGAAAGTCTTTAATTTTGTGATTTAAATAAATGAAAATGTTTATAATTTTAATTGCATATCCATCATCTTTTAGTTTTGAACAAAAGGATTGTTGGTCAGTGTTCAAGTGATTAGTTGGACTTTTTTTTTTTTTTTTCAAATTATAAAGCATTAGTGCAATCCTATAAGTGATTTTTGTTGGTGTATAAGGCATATGTGTAATTTATACCTGCTATAAGAGTGCTTGGTATTTAATAAAATCACAAAGAGGTGAAATAATTTTTATCCCTCAAATTGCATTCATTCAAAAAATGTTATTTAATAATATCTTTGGAATACGTGTTAAAAACTAGATAAGCCTGTTCAAAAATGTTAGTCTCTTTAGCCTGTCTATAAACTACATAGTATTTACTAATGTAATTTAATTTTGGTCTGAAATATTCAAATTTTTTAGGCAAGTTCTGTTGTTGCAAATGCTGAAAAACTTGGAATAAAAGTTATAACACTAGACGGTGAGTATTACAGTTTCCATCTCATTTAATTTTTAAAGCTGTTTGTCTCAGTCCATTGCCCAGCAGAATCCCATGGTACTAGTCTGGATGGGTCAGGGTAGTACCGCATTGTAATGCTGAATCAAATTAACATTGTTAACAATAATCAGTTTATCGTTTGAACTCTAATATGTATGTATGCATATGTCAAAAACTAACCACACCTACCAGTTTGTAGAAAAAGATATCAAATATAGAAGCTGATGCGTATAGTTTTTGCATTGTAATTTTTATGAAATGTGTTACGCGCAGTGCCAGAATGAGAAAGAACAATTTTTTGGGGGGAGGGTAATTTATCTGAGCAAGTATTTTAAAAAATGTACAGCAGAGTTCCGGTACCTTTTTTCTTAAATCTATGCACTGTGTACATCCATTCAATAGTTAGTCTTACAATGAATAATTACTGAAGTAAATTGAAAATAGATTTATTGTGTGGTTTATTTCCATTGCATTTTACAGTTACATTAAATGAATAATGACATTAGTATGATAATATAGCTATGAGTTGTATAATCCTGTGCTCATTAAACAAAAAAATTTGGAACAGTCTACATTTTTGTTGTTGTATTCTTGCTAAAAAGAACAACAAAATTTAAAATGCAATATAGCTGCTAAAGAAAGCTTCTTAATTATGTCATATTTTACAAACTTTCATAATTTATAAAGAAACATCTGAAATAAAAACCTTAAAATATATCACGGCATTGTACTTTAATAGCTTCCTAGCTGCAAAACAATATAACTATATTTAATAGTTTCAATCCCCTCCAATACATTTTAATAGAGTTTATAAATTAACTGAGTAAAGAGATTTTATTCCCAATCTATTTTTCAGCTGCAAGTAAATGGTTAGAAAAGGAACTGAAGAAACTTGATAAAGAGTTTAAAATTGAATCTGTAAATAAAGAGGTATGTTCTAAATGTTGATTAAACATTATTTTATAACCCTAAGAAAACATTATTTTATAACCCTAAGAAAATAATTTGATTTTATGAAATTAACACATTTAAGAGTATTGAACTAAGGATTTTCCTTTTCAATAATAAAAAGCATAAACATTTTTTGTTGGTTTTAACCTTTAAACTTAATTGGTCTGTAAAATGTTTTACTAAACTATAACATGAAATAAATATTAACAATGTTTTTGAAAATGTTTATTTTGGTTTTTAAAGAAATTCTTTAATAATAAAAACCAAAGCAACATTTTGGGATTTTGCTACATGTAATCACAAATACTGGGGGGGGGAGACTAAAATTTATTTTTTTATTGGTACTATGGGTTCATTGGTACACATAATGAATAGGCAAATAAATCATGTTAAATGTTGATAAAAGAAAATAGATTTAGGTTTAAGTTTAAAAGAGATGTAGGCCAGTAAGATGGGATTGGCATGAGTGGAGGAAAAGTAACAAATCCATGATTCCCTGTACAGTCAAAGGGGTTCTTGCAGGTTTTTCTTTGAAATGTCTTTTTTTTTTTACTGTAAAAAGAATTATTGTAAATATTTTCTTTTTAAAAAAAATAATTTTTAAAAATTACTAATTTATTTTAAACCCTTGCCAACTGATTCCCTAGGAAAATAAAGTCAGACAGAAGTCAACAAACCAAGAAAATAAAAAGAAAAGTATGAAGTACTCTTTTGTTGTCTTAAGATTAAATTTTGTGTAAACTTACTTATTTGACATGTTAAATATTTAGTGGTTAAGATTGAACTTTTAAAATTTATAAAATCAACTTATTTTAAAACACACTCTTTATCAAATAATTTGAATGAAGCATTTTTTTTTCAACTATTTAAAAAATCTTTGGTGAATTGCCGAGTACATAAAATAATGGTCAGGGTGGCACAAATAATGAACAGCAAACCACCCATTTGCAATATTCAGTTTGTAGTTACTGATGTCTTAAAATTCCATACATTTTCTAATTGTGGATTATTTAGTATTTATCTTTAATTAATGACATGAAATGACATGTGGAAAGTAAACTGATGTATAAATATTATGAATCCCCCCAAGGATCCATCTCATTGTTGGTTATTTTAACATTTAATGTAATCCTTTCCAAGTGTCATGATGCCAGTTTTGTCATAAAATTATGTTCTTTGACTTTTTATTTTTCCAGAAAAGCTTTTAAAAGGTTCTTACATCAAGTTTGAAGTTTCTAATCAGTTGTACAGACCTGTTAAATCAGAATTTTCACACTGGCCAAAGCTCAATCTTTTAGCCCCACCTGGAATTTGTCCATTTGGTGAGGCTAAATTAAAAGTGCAATATCAATATAAAGCCCGCAAATGTTTACCATTAACAAGCAATTTACCCAGCGTAGAGCTGACTACGGGAAATAAATTAGATTCAGCTGAAACAAAGCCTCAAGAAATCAGGTAATAATTCATTTACTCTTTCATAAGTTAATAAATTACTTAAAATAATGCATTTTATTGTTAGAATAATAAATTTTTTCATTAAAATAGCTTGTTTTTTTTTATGTTGGAAAACAGTTTTTTCTATTTCAAACTACATAAATTAAACCTATACTCATAATTATATTATTTGTCGAAAGTTTTGCTTTAAAGTAATTTTAATACCTTAAATTATTATCTTATGAGGTGATGAGAAATCTTTTTAATGACAGGAAATATTGAGCTAAAATTGAAAACAAGAAATGGTTTCATTCATTTGTTTGAATATAGGATTTCCCAACCAGTTCCTGAACTTGTTGGTGTGCCAATAGTGACAACTGGGGATATTAAATGTAACCTTGCTCTGCACCTAAAGAGGTCAACACAAATTAACAAACAACAAGGATACTGTGATTGCTGTGAAGTAAAATTTAAGGACTTGGATCAGGTAGTCCATGGTGTTGCTGCTCAGAGAATTATTAAACTATCTGTATAGTATTAAATACATTAAAGTGAATGTAGATTGCAAGCTCTATGATAAGATAAATAAAATAAGTTAATAAAAGTAAATTGGTCTGTTCACTAATTTGTTTTATCCCAGATCTTGAATATCATATATTCTGGTTAAAGGCCACCTTTTCAGATAAGTGTTTAAAAAATCTTTAAAAGGCAATATATTATCTGCTGCTGCCATGATCTCCTATGGGCTGTGCACATGTATATATCATTACACTATGGGCATGGAAAATATGTCTTATTTTTACACACAACTTAAAATTTGAACTTAATTTTTGGCATCCCTAATCTTGATCATTAGAATGCATAGATATTAAGGGATTGTGTGACGCAGAAGTGATTTTAACTGTAGAAAAAGTAAATTTTCAGTTATGTGCAAATAACTTATAATTAACCCTTAAAACCTATATAATTGTTGTTTAGAACTATGCATCTAGTAAACTAGATGGGTTTTAAAAATATTTTAAAAAATTAATTAATCCAAGTTCCTCAAATATTTTCAGCACTTAACTGGTGATGAACACAGAGCATTTATACGAGACAAGTCCAACTATGAAAGTTTAGATGCCATTATTAGCAAAGTTCCATGCACTGTAGAATTTCTGCAGACTGTACTTTTGAAACACTGTGTGGAAAAACAAGAAGTTGCAGAAAGAAGGTGGGCATGTCTCTCACAATATATTTATAATTAACTGTATACAATGAAAAATTTTGTCACCATTGTCAACTTAAGTCAGTGATTCTCAACCTTTTTAGTGCCCTGACCTTTTGATAACATTTGCCAATTTGTGGCAACCCAGGTTTCTCATATGGGGGTTTCATACATGTTATCAAAATTATATTATACTGAAAATTCTAGATCTAGTTTTAATAAGTGTTCATTTTTAAGAGTTTACCTAATTTAAAAAAAAAATTTCAACTTATTGCGGTAACAGTCACTTTTCCTCTTTTTAAATGTTGTCTTGACTTGAAAGGGCTTGAAAACCTGCATTCTAGAGCTACTGAGCTGTATAATTCAGCACAGTTAACTAGATTTAAATTTGTGACAATCTGTAACTTGCTGAAATTTTAAAAAACTACAAAAGTGTATTGTAAAAGTTTGTACCAGAGATTTCCCCAGGATGGGAGGATCTCCCTGGAGATATTTATATAATTATAATAATATTGACCTGGATCCGGCTTGAGAAACTCTAGTGGTGACCCAAACCAGGATTATTTCTATAAATCGTAAAAACTGGTTGGGGGATGTCGTAACAAGCAGATTGAGAATCACTGTCTATTTGCTGATTTTTAAAAAAAATGTGTAAGTCACCATCTTATTTATATAAAAACTTATCTACAATTTTATTTATGTAATTTAATGTATGTAGTGCTAGATTTTGGCACACACTTTGTAGAATTGGAGTAAATTTGCCAAATTTGTTCATAATCTAGGATGAATTTCTTATTACCTATCAGTCTAAATGTATTTTTAAAACTTTTATTGCAGTCAAGATCCTGTAGGAAATATTTTGCATTTGGACCCACCTATTTCTCCTTTAACAACAGAAAAAACTGTCACTCGTTCAGTAGAAATTGCACCCTTCAGTCTTAATACACCACATGATTTTAAAGAGGAGACATTTTATTCAAAAGAAAAGTTAACTGCAACTGATAATGATGTTTTTGATAAGGTAGGAAGTACTCCTGTGGAGGAAGCTAATGTCGACAACCGCCCCCAAGCAATCGTTATTAGGCGCCCCACTCCCAGTGGTATATTTACATCACCAAGACGTCGGCAGCCAACTCCTGGCAAAAAACCATGGGTTCAAGAACGTTCTATGATATTTCGGGATTCTCCCATGGCTAGTTTGCAGCCGTCATGTAGCAGCAGTCCCAGTTTTGTAATAAATGATGGAGTCACTAATGTAGGAATTTTGAATGGTATATCTGCACAAATACCCACAGGAAAACTTATTACATCACAATCCCACGCAAGAGTTTCAGAGTTAAACCCAAAAGTTTCATATGAAAATAATGATCAACTAAATCGTTGTGGATCAGAAACAACTAAAGTGAGCTTTAATGGAACCCCATCCATTGGTTCAGACATTATAAAAAAATGTGTCAGCCTTACAAGGGACAATGAAACAAATATTTCTGACAATTGTCAGCAGTTGGAAAGGCAATCCAAAGAAGTTAATGAAAAAGAATGTTCAAACCTTAAGTTGCCATCAAGTAAAATATCTGATCAAGATTTACTGCAGCAAGATGATTGTCATAGAAGTGATCTGGCAGAAGACAAAATTCTCCTTGAGGACAAAAAATATTTATGGATGGAAAAATCCATAATCGGAGTATCTGCAAGTGGTATATTTAAGAACAGTGCTGATAGAAATTTCAGAAAAAAAGTTACAAAATGTTTATTTCCTGCGGAAGAGAATTTGAAAACTAACTTTGAAAATAATTTTTTATCAGAAAATCTGATTGGTTCATGGTCTAATGGTGATGACACAGATAATATCAAATTAAAGCTAGATAAAGAAATCAAAATAAAAGAAAATGATGATTTAAAATTGGAAGTTGATTTGAAAGAAACTAGTGATTTAATTAGTGACATTGACAAAAATTTAGCAAACGATCTGAAGAATGACAGTGGCAATGAAATAATTATTATTGAAAGTGACAGTGATAACTTGAAAAAAACACAACTACAGAAACATGAAAATCAGATGGCCAACAACAGTCATGACCAGCAGAAAGTGACAGATTTGTCTAACATGCAATGTGAATCTATTACTATTTCTTCACAAGGTATTGTTCTCCCCTCCATCGCGGACAGAGTAAAGCAAAGAAGTAGAAATAACAGCGGCATATCTTACTGTTCAGTTGATGAGAACAACCTGATGGGGAGTCAAGCAAATACAAGGGCTACTGATAATGAAGATAGAAATATTCTTGTGACACAGCAAACATTGACAGAATCACTGCAAGGGAAACATATGGAAGTGGCATCAGATTTTAGCAGCGATGCAACCATGGAGTATAATGAAATTTATAAAACTGAAATTAAAGTTAGTTATAAAACTGAAATGAAAGATGGAAGTGACGATGCCGTCAATGAAATGTTGAGTGATTGTTCCACAATTGGCTCTCTGTCTAGATTAAACAACACGACGACAGCTGGTAAATGTATCAAATGCAACAAACTTGAAGATGGTCGCAGCACAGTTTCAGATATTAATAAATACAGTGCTCATTGTAACATGGTCTCTCAAACAGTTAATACTGTACAAAATGATACTCAAGAAAGTAATGTATCAAGTGCTCACAAAAGAAAGAGCAAACACAGTTCTTCAGCAATCAACTCTTGCAATGAATTTAAAGGCAAATTTGATGACAAAATTATTATGAGGCCTGAATTGGGGCTTAAAGAAAATATGTGTGATTCAGCTGAAATTAAATTGAAAATCCAAGAGTCAGATATGCTTCCTGGACCTATCCCAAACATTGCTGATCGTGTAAAAACTCGAACTCGAGTAATGCATATGTCGGGACATTCGGCTGATTATGAATCTGTTGAGTTGAGTGATAAAAATGAATGTAAGTTTAAAAAAAGGAACAGACGTAGATACCACAACTTGAAAGCTAAAAGTGGACATTCAGACAAAAAGATTAAAAAAAGAGGGAAAGCTTTTGAAAAAAATTCAAAGCCTACTGATATTGCACATGAAGAAGCATTGCTGCCTGTTGTTCCTAATATTGCAGAGTGTGTCAAAAGAAGACGATCATGTACCCTATTTAACCATGAGGGCCAATATGCAAACAGTGGTGAAAGCAGTGCCATGGCCTCTATGCCAGACAATGATTTCAGTACTAAAACACTTGGATTTCAGAAAAATTTATCCAGATCCAGGAAAAATTCTGATAGGAACCACCAGTTAGCTGAAGAAGTTTCAAAGGTCAGTCTGAGAGATAAAGAAAAAAGAAGTGATATTTTATCAAGCACCAAAACAGCTGTTGTAATAAGACGTAAAAACATTCCCCCTCGATCCTTTTCATACATGTGCAGAAAATCTGCTTGGGGAAGATTTCAAACCAAAAAAGATTGGTCTAGAAGCGAAGCTATAAAAGAAATTTCACCCAAAAATTTAGCTATCAAAACTGATTCAGTTGCAGATGCAAGTAATGCTACATTAACAAAGGATACTATTCAACATGTTGAGAAAATTAAACAGTCTAATCTCAAGCCACTGATGAAGATCAACCCAAAATATTCTAAAAGTTGTGCTGAATTTGATGCTTCAAAAATAAACCAAACACCACCAAAGAAATTGATTAATCGTCATGCCATCAAGCTTGATGGTTTGATTCAGACTGCTTCAGCCCAGTCATCCAGTATTTCAAATAGCCCAAAACTAAAATTGAGAATAGTGAGGCAGCCAGATAATGGGTACTCCTCAACACTGGAAGAAATTTATGATTATTCAAATAGTAATTCCCAAAACCATCTGGCAACTCCAAAAAGTCCTGTCTGTCCTGTCTCTTTTCATCAAACACCTTCAAAAGTGTTACTTGAGAAAAGTACTGTTTATTCAAAAACTTTGCCTAATAATTTTTTTCTTAACAAATGTAGCACATCTTCTGATTCTGAAACAGTAATTTTATTAAGCTCTTCTCCAGCCATTAAACATTCAAGAATGAAAAGGCAACTTGAAAATGAAGAATGCAGTGAAAAAGAAGATGTTTCAGAAACTCATTCTGAAATTTTGTTGCCGTCATCAGATATAAGTGTAGGGAAAATTGATAGGAAACGGAAAAAGCGAAGACGGCTGGAATTGGGAAATGACTGTCCATCATTAAAACCTGAACCATATGGACTAACTAATATTTCTATGGTCAAAATAACTTATGAAACTCAGGCTAGACCTCAAAGTCCATTATTTTCCTCACCATCTAGAAAATTAAGCCTTAGTAAAAAGAAGAAAAAATCTAAAAAAAACTCAGATGTATGTAGCGATAGGTCAAATTCACCAATTTTTAACAAAAAGTTAAAAGAAAAAATAATGGATTCAGGTGTCGCAGAAACTAATGATTTCCTTCCTAAGAAATTGACAAGCAATGAATTAGATGACTCCAGACCCAAAAGAAAGATTGATGCAAATGATAGTAGTTTTCTTTCTCCATCTGTAAAGAAAGTTAAACTAAGAGATAATTGGCGTCTTTTATCTGACCGGAGCATGGTCAAATTGCTTGAGACAGAGCAAGAGTCAGGCTTCAAGGAATCCCCTAGTCAAGGTCTGGCTTCTGATTTGACTTACATAAATGCGTCAGAAGTTGATCTGGATACTTATGATGATAAGGAGTGGGTCATTGACACAAATTTAAAATCTCTTATGGATGAGAGTCCTACTATTTTGAAAGATTCAAATTATAAAAAACATTTAACAAAGGTTAACAGTGAGTTAGAAGAAAGTTCAAACCATGGTCTTGGAGATTTTATGACATATGTTGCAGAATTTTCTTCTCCTAACAAAGTTGGGGGCTCATCTTGGGGAGATGTCTGTGAATCCTATTTAAATACCTCATTTCATAAGCCAAGCCAATCAAGTATGAAAATTTCCAGAATGGAACAATCACCTTTTAAATTACCATGTATAGTTGACAGCCCAATTAAAAAAAGAACACCTCATAAGCTTGACAGACCTCAATCTTGCAAGCAATTTCATGATAATCCCGTTGCATAAAAAGATTACAATCAAAATGTAATTGTTTTTTTTTTTCAACCTGCAACTTTGAATAAAACTTTTAAAAATAAATATTTAATACACACCTTACGAGAACATGAAGGTAATTCAATGAACAATATTTTATTTTAACCCTCTATTTTGTAACCATTGTCTGGTACCGGTATGTAAAATATTTCTAAAATAGGTGGTCAATATTATCTTACCTGCCTTTATTTAAACATTTTATACACTGTAATATGTAAATATGTACAGATATCATGGATCTTAAAAAAAGTATTTACTAAATTATGTTACACCATGAAGTCCTATCAGTAACCAGAGTAACAATTTTATTTGGATAGTTACCTTAAGGATGATTTTTTTGTTAACAGATTATCAGCATGATTAGAGATTGTTTTTAAAGACCTATTAAGCCTACATATTATTATTGGTGAAGTCAGCATTAATATAGCTGCTGAATTGTAGTTATAAAAACTAGAAAGCTTTGAAACATTAAAAAAAAAATTGTTTAAAAAATGACTTTCTCATTAAATTAAACAAATATTAATATATTTTTATACAAATTGTGAATCAGTGTTCATTAGCATATTAACTGTGGCATGTGTAAATATTAAAGTCTGCCCAATCAATAATCAAATATTAATGAAATTCGTAGAAAAGATCATAACTAGTGAAAATGGCAAAATAATAGAACGCAAAATGTAAAAATGGTATGGATCAGAGAAATTTGTATTCCATCTAATAAATTTTTTCTTGTTTTCTAGAATAACAGTGTGTTTTAATCTAATCTGGTTATTCTCAGAATTGTATCATGCTCATCACTTTCCTGGTCTTATAATGCCCATTAGTCTTTATTTGGAATCTGTTTAATATTTATGGACTTAGGCTAATTATCATCAAGCTGTGCAATGTGGTATTGTCTCAGCATGCTCAGTAATTTAGTACCATCTTTATGGACAGAAAATAGAGCATGCAATCATTTTTTCATTTTATGTCAACAGGTAAATAAAACCGTTTTTATTTACTTCATTTGTTCCTTTTTACCAGGGGCATAGTTAAACAGAATACACTCCATGAAACTTGGTTGCCTTGCCCTTTTATAAATGAAGTATTGCATAATTTAAGTTAAAAATACACTTGAAAAATGTGAATGTTTATTTCCTACTTATCTTTTGTAAACCTTGTTAACTCTTGTAAATGTTCAATACTGTTTGTATAAAAGTGTATTAATTTAATTTTTTTTATGTACTTGAATAAATGAATTGGTTTTTAATTTTATGGTTGATTTAATAATATGAAGACACATTCTTTGATAGCTATTGATATGCACTATATAAATAAATGAAAATGTATTTTGATAATACATGTACCCCGCATTAAAATTAAAATGAATTAGATTTGTAAATTTTATATTTTATTTAATTTTTTTAAGAGTGAAAAAAAAAGAGGAATATTAAATTTTCAGTTTGAAAAAAATTGTTAAGTCCTTTGTGTGCTTTAAGTTAACGCTTTTAATTTTTATAAATCTTTTTAAAATTTAATGTGGTATAATAAAATGACCAAAGAGAAAGAAGCATTACTATTATTTTTATGCTACCAATATATAAAATTGGTTAATTAAAACCCATGAGATAACAGCTGTTTTAAGCTAATTATAACTATTGATCTTAGTTGAAACATTTTTTATTACCTTTAGTTAAAAAAAAAACAACAAAAGACCTAAAAACAAATAAGGCTGCCTATATAATTTTATATTTTCTTTTGCATTAATTAACAAACAAAAAAAAAACTGCTCTTGAAACAGTATGGGCAAATCTTAGAAAATGTCTAAAAAACTTTTACATTATATTACCCTGATTGTTAAATGGATGGACTCAACAGAAGTGTGATTATACACATTCCTAGTTCTGATCCCAAAGACTCCATAAATTCCCCCCAAATATACAAATCAGTCTTTTTTTGCGACAGAAAACTTACAACTTAACTCACACCACAACAGCATAAAACCAGCAGGACACCAACATGCCCTTTTTGCAAACATCAAAATGAGACAGTAGCACATCAGGTCCTTGAGTGTCCAGGACTTAAGCCTTAGTTAATTATCCCAATAGACAGTCTGCAGTAACAGTACAAAGTCAAACTAAAGATCTGCCAAAGGCCACCTGTGTAAATTGTTACTGGATCAGGATGATCATATAAATGGATTTTTATTTTTCCCTTTGACTTGTCTAATGCAACATGAAATGACTAAATACAAAACTGGAGAATTATTCTTTTTTTGAAAATGAAAAGCATTTTAATTAAAAGGGGGTTCATCAGAATTGAAATTTGTATTAACTAAATGCTACAACATGAAAACAAGGCATGTTTTAGCAAATATGCTTTTTAATGTACGTGAGGACTAAAGTAACAGTAATCCTTAAATGAAGTTCACTTTTGCATATTTAAAGATTATATTATAATTAAATTAGTTCTCAATTTATGGGTTTTTTTTCTCTTTAAATAAAAATATTTAAAATTGTAATTACAACTGATGTCTTATACTTATAGTTATGGTCAAGTGGATTTATTTTCTATGAATGAACAGGCAGAATTATCATGTATTACAATTTTATTAATGGAATTTTACCTGTTTGTTTTATTGAATGATGTGAGTTTTCCTAATCCACTTAATTCTATTAAAGACATTTTAAAGTTACATAATGTTAAATGCATTACTTTTTAAAAATTAAATTATGTAACAGATATCACTGCTCTTGTTTATTTTATTCAAATCTATTTACACATTCATATCTGACAATAATTATTTCAAGATGTATCCTGATATTTAACATTATTTATTAACATTTTTAGTGTCTTTTTTATCTGTTAAATGCAACAAGAAATAACCCTACTGCAAGAAGTGACGTAAACTCATCAATAATTTTTCATATAATCTATTTAAAATGTTATCTATATAGTAATGATGCTAACTGCCAATGAATTGCATTATGACACTTATTGCACATATCCTTTCATAAAAACATCACATTCACACTGCAGTATATTCAACATTTTAAAAATAGGAAGAAGTTTACTATTAGGAGCCATAAAAAAAATTTATTATAAATTTTATGTTTCAATATCAACAGATATTATTGGTGTACATTTGTATTTTTTTTCATGGTTTATCTTCGAAGGAATGAAAAGATCCATTACAAGATGAGAATGTACACTATTTACAGGAAATATAAATATTCACAATATGACTTTATATTAATCAATATCTTAGCGGACAGTAGAATCCTGCAGTACAGAGACCATTAAATCAGAGACTGAATGCATATATATGCATATACATTTATATATATATATATATCCAGTTTATGTACATACATTTACACAGATATCCAAAACATAGCCATTGTATGAATCAATGAAAATAGTTCTGCTAACACTAATATTACAAGTCAAATAGGTCTATAGTAGTAATGCTTTATTCTTTATGTTTTCTTTGTAGCAGCATTTAAAAGCATAAATTTTGCAGAGAAATATATATCTACTACATATGATGCTTTTTATTTATGCTAAATGTGGTGATCACCCACGAACTATGTAAGCTAGTAAACATGAATAACGTAAATTAATGTGTGGGGAAACATTCACTGCACCAAGCAGTACAAATGAATATTTTGAAAATCAATAAATAATTCCTGTATCAATAGTATCATGTGTAAATGTATTTTAAACAATAGACCAAACTAATCCACAAGTTTTATCATCAACCTATTCCTAGCAGTGTCTATATAAAACATTCTTTGATTTGGAATACGATTTGTGAATTTTGCATTAGCACAACATTTGTCGCTTAAGATATTTTTTTATATTTCTCTGATACATCATCCCAGTGATTTGTTTTTTGTGCTTCAGTTTTCACAACTGTCATAATTCCGTTTAACGAATTTCTCCTCAAGGTATTTTATTTTAGTTATAATATATAATAATATATAATTCAAAGTATTCAATTTCTTTCCCTAAAAACAAATTCCTTAGAACGCTGCCATCTTTTATTCTTAATACCATTTAATAAAGGTTATTATGACCATACCCAACATTTAACATTAATTATCAAAATGGTCTACAGTTTATATCTTGTGTTTATACAAAACTTCACTTTTTAACATTCTCAAAGCTTGTTTAGAACTAAAGTTCACAAATTCCTTAACAAATCACAGAGAATTTTATATGCAAATACAAACTTCCTCTTAACTGACAACGTAAGGAAAATTCATAAAAATTATTTAACAATTCTTTCTTCTCATTCCTAACATATTTAAATAAAATATTTTTTTTTAAAACCTCACTTATTTCAAATGGGTACCTTTTATATTGATGACAAAAATCTCTTTAAAAAAATTAAAATTTATGGGTGAACATTTTTAATTCATGAAAATTCCATTGCACAAATTATTTTCTTAAAGTTCAAGTGAACATTGATTGGAGCCAGTCAGTGAAATAAACACTAAAAAGCTTCACGTCAGTGCACCAAGATAAAAAGCTGATGACAGATAACAATGAACTTGATGTTTGTATTGACAATTCAAATCTTTAAAATACTTTCATGCTTTTTAAATGGGAGGAAAAAGACCGATTTCCCCCCCTTCCCCCCCCCCCCCCCTTAAAACTGGTTTTATTTTAATCAAATTGATCATTAAAAAAATTAGTACGCAAATTTTAATTAATTTCTAAGTTTAAAATACTTTCATGCTTTTTAAATGGGAGGAAAAAGACCGATTTCCCCCCCTTCCCCCCCCCCCCCCCCCTTAAAACTGGTTTTATTTTAATCAAATTGATCATTAAAAAAATTAGTACGCAAATTTTAATTAATTTCTAAGATGAATGTTATAATAATGTGTTAATATGTAATAAAATAACAGTACCACCCTGTGATACTGCATGAATGACACAGTGGGGCTTGACAAACTAAGAATAAATTAACATAATTTAATTTTAATCTGTTTGTTGTAAATATTTATGCTTATTATTGCAGAAAAATATGACACTTAGTTGAAACAATATTCACACAAGATATGAACCCTTTAATTTGCATAATCTATTAAGTTTATTAATTTCCTATTACTACCTATATGAATTCCATATACTTTTTAAACAGTAATGTTTCAGAATTGACATCACTTGAGTTTTTATAGTTTCTAAGAAAAATGGTGCAAAAGAGAATGCTCTGTAGTTATATCTCCTCATGCACACAAAAACCTGACTCATGCATTTAGAGTTACAGGACAATATATGACTAATGCACTAAGGAAAAGGGAACAGGGATGTTGGTCTGATTAGAGATTTTGTGTAATGATGCACTATGGGAGGTGCATTAATTTCAAGATTTGCTGAACAATCAAAGACATTGTTTTCTTTACAAAAAAGCCCTAAGCAATTTTATGTTATGATAGAGAGCACAAATAATCACTTTCATTTTGATATTCATCATTCTAATTCCTTGAAGGTACTGTTTTCAAAGCTTTTAAATTATTGAACAATTTTGGTAAAATGTCTTTCTTAGGAACCCCAAAAGGATTTTATATTATCAACATAAGTTGACTTATTAATGCTAAAATGAATGTAGAGGATTTTCAAAAACAAAATGAGAAATTCTGATAGATAAGAATTTTCTCTTGATACATGTATGACTGATAGTAGTGATAAGGAGTAAATTTAAACCAGAGAAAAATTATGGCTTTGAAAGTTCAAATACGTAACAATAGCCTCTAATGGGTTTATGGATCAACCCTCAACATACAGGATAACATTTATTTTTGCATATGTAGTAAATGGATGGTCAAACAACTAAACTGCCAATACACATAGCACAATGATTCTACGTCTCTATTTGAAAGCTTGTTAGTACTACTTTTCTTTCTTGTTCTCCCCAATAAGAACAATGAATTTCATGGAAAAACTATGAGGCAAATATCTCAAAGATTTGAATTGATTAGAAAAAAATGTTAATCTGACCTGATTTTCAGAAGAGGCTTTAATTCACAGCTTAAATCCAGAATTAAACACTCAACCATTAAAAGATAGTCTATATAATTTAACTTTTTACTACTATTAGTATGAAATTTTTAAAATTATAAATATTAAAATATAGGTGTATATTTCAAGTACAAAAGGAACAGCATGATCTGAATGAAAACTATTCTCAAAGGCATTCAAGTGGTAGAGAACACATACAGCTGTAGTTATTTTAAACATTTCATAATCCATTTCCTAAGGATAAGCTGTCACAACAATTTCTTGAAGGATAGCAGTTGTAAACAAAAAATTAACCCCATGGTTGAATTTACAAATGTTAATGATCTGTATTGGCTCTACCAAGAAGTTTGAGGCATGGCCGGAACACAGTCAAAATGATTCCAATAATTCATTTGAACTGATTTTTAAAAAAATAAAGTTGACTGTTAAATAATATACTTTTTCAATACACATTAATTTTTTTTTTTTTTAAATGTAAACATAAAAAATTTCCACAGTATTTGAATACCACCATAACTCATTGAATATATAAGATAAAAAATATATATCAGCAATAAACACAAAAGTTACCTTTCTAGCCTTTCATTAATATGACCAGTTCATTTTTAACTGATAACTTGAAAACAATGCATGTATGGTGTCAGAATATGTGTCAATAGATCTACATTTCACACCAAGTGATACAAACTGAATGATCCAGTAAAAATACATTTTGGAATACTATTAATATGAAGTTATCAACTTAACAGAAAACATACATTTTTCTCAAAGTTCTAACTTTCTCTATTAATTAAGATGAACAGTAGGGAATTATTTTCTACATAAGGCTGCACTGTTGTTACATGCATTCTGTATTTTTAAAAAGTGATGCGTACAACTTTTATATTCAATGTCTTACTACACATATGTTTTAAATTGGCAAATTAACTATTCAGCAAAGTTTGATATATAAAAACTCATTAGAAATGTTAGCATTCAGCAAACAAGAAATAAAGGCATTTAGAAAGTTGGTAAAAACTGGCTTCTTAAATATATAACGAAAAAAAATAATCTAGCAATATGTAAAAATTCACTTCCATCTCAAAATAGTTTGTGTTAAAAATAGATATATCAGCTGTATTCACTATTAAACTCTCCCCCCCCCCCCCCCAAATTAAAAAATATATTAAAATATTTAACACTTAAAATGTTTCTTTAATCAAACAACCTTGATAAAAAGCTTTTAGTTGCAAAAAACAAGGCTTCACGCTTTATGTACACTAAGCTCAGCAAATTAAAAAAAAAATAATTGTCTTCAGTGCAATACATTTCATTTCTTTTTAAAAAAATTGCTCTTTTATCTGTCATTAATCCTTTCAAATATTAGAGGAATAAGAAACAAATAATCCACCATTTGCAGTTTTGATCATTTGATTTAAAGTTGTATATTTGCAAATTTATCTTTTGACAGATTTAAAACATGTTAGTTTATATAATAAGTTTAATGTTATGCCGTGAAACTACATAAGTAGATTCTATTTTATTTTAATAAAAACTAATACTTTTATCATCTACTCTTTAAGACAAAAGATTGCATGAAAAATAACTTGTGCTTTGGATTTATGCTGTTAAATTACATGTCTGTTGTAATCACTTGAAACTTAATAATTCTACTTATGTATTTTACAAATGTGTGTAGTGCATTGCATCTGCACTCTACAACACTACCCCCCACCTTACAAAAATACCAAAGTAAAGAAACCCCAATGTTATTTTATTTTAATGTAATCTTTAAAATTATTATTTTTTAAAAAAATATTATACAATGATGCTACATGAAATTAACAAAGTTAAAAAAATTCTGACATGGGAAGTTTTGAATATCCAAGAACACTAACTTTTTTTTTTAAAGAAAAAATAAATTGGTATGATTTTTCAAGTTATAATTACATCCTCACATTATATAAAAAAAAAATAATAAAAAGAGAATTCTAACACTATAATTTATTCATCCCTTTTAACTTAACAATGACATCATTTTCCCCAACAAATCACTGTGGTAGTAAAATAAAGGAAGAAATGTTTGGACAGATAAATGAATTTAAATAAACGAAACAGAGGATCAAACAAAACAGAGGATTAACAATTATCCTCTAGAGTGACATTAACCTGCAAATTATTTTCAGATTTTCATAAGTAATAATAGTAAACATCACAATAAGTATCACATGACTGGAAATACTTAAATTAATAAACTCTGTTTTCATGAACAAAGATCTACAGAGAGAAATAAAGCATCTTAACCAAGGGAGGTAAACCAGCAGATAATCAAAAAGTTTCTTAGCAGTTTGAATCATTAAGCACACAGCATATATTAATGCTTCTTTCTTACAGTTACAGCAACCTCTACAATTGTCTTGGTGAACTGTGACTAACTACAGTAAATGATCTTTGTTACATCAAATCATAATCCAATAGTTATATACACATAAATACTGTACAGCGACTTAGTTACGTGATCTTTTATGTTTAAGTTTGTGGGGCATTAAAAAAATACAAAAAAGATCAATCACGATGAGTAGATATAATACACAAAATATTCAGTTACTTACAGTAAAATAATAGATAAAGTTATTGTGTCATATCATTGAAAGAGTGAAATTTATGCATACTGAACTCAGATGACTAATTACAGACAGTCAATTTGTTGGCTCATAAATGCTAAATGATTTTGTTTCATTTAATGGCACTTGTGATTAGACTGGGAATAGATGCAGGCTCAGTAAATCTTCACTATATTAATTTTTAGCATTTCACATATAAATGCTCTATTTGCATTTCACATAAACATGCTCTATTAACAGCTTTGAAGCAGGAGCCATTGCATATTGTGCCTCAAACTAAAGATGAAATAATTTTCCACCTGACATATTATTTGCATTTAGGTAATTATACCACAAGATCTTTTAAAAATAAATGTTTAATGGAGGAGATGCAAGGAAGTTTCAACCTTCATCAGCTACCAAATCCTAAAGCTACATCCATCAAATCATCATCTATTTCACATGGAGAATCAGAGCATTTTGGTGTTGAAGCACCTGAAGGATTCATAGCAAGCGCTGGAGATCGAGCAGAAGAGCGACCCATCTTTGGGGAAACTGTTGCTGTATCAGTGTGACTCATGGGGCTAGAAAGTTTATCTGCTTGCAGTAAGTTAATGCTGTTGTTTGAATCTTCCTTCATAAAAAGTTGAGTGCTACTGTTGTTGCAAGAGCTTTTGTCGGTTGAAGAAATATAGAGTGGGGCTTTCACTAAGTTACTATTACAATTCAAGATATTCTTTTCTGTGGAAGATTTTCCAACTAGACATTCATCATCATCAATGACTAGCCCATTTTCAGGGCTGCTAATATCACTAAGAGGACTTGACAGAGCTTTAGCTGAAGAAGAATTTTTCGCACTGCAGCTTTTTTCTAGACAAACTTTACCATCCTGACTGTCTTTTGACAAACTAGACTGGACCAAATGATCCAGTTTGCCATTTTTGTTATCTATTAAGTGCCCAACGAATTCAGCTGTTTTCACTTCTTCTTCTGGTTGTTCAACTGATGGTTTCACTGAAGGAATTTTAAAAATTTGCTCATCTGCATCTTTTTGAAGTTTAGCACTGTTAGCACTAGGTAAATTCATTGGGGAATTAGGGGTGGACTGGGGCTGGAATGGTGAAATGGAGGGTGATGATGTCTTCCCTGAAGCTGGAGCAGGTGACTGGATGGTGGGAGAAGGTGGTGATGGTTGTATCCTTAGAGGACATGGTTTGTCTTTACTTTTGTTGCTTACATGCTTATTTTCTAGATTGGTATTTTTTAAAAGTACAGAGCCTCCTAAATGGCACTCTGCTTTATTAGATTGACTTTTGTCTTTGGAGACTGTCAGATCAAGGCCATGGTTAATGTCAGTGACCTTACAAACATTCATTGACCTGTCTTCCAATGTTTTCATGGCTTTATAACTAACTTTCCCTGGTAGGTCAGTATCTGACTGTATTGTTCTAACATAATCATTAACTGTTTTCCCAGCAAGCAAATCTGCACTTATGCAGGCTGACAATGGAGAAGATCTATCTAAAGAATGAGTGACTTTACTATCAATTACGGAGCTAAAAGTTTTATCCATTGTTTCTAAATTAGAACAGGGAATTATTTTATTTTCATCCTGTTTAGACACATCTAGAGAATTAATACCAAATTTAGAATCAGTCTTTTGATTTTTGAGATTATCAGAAGCTAAATGTTTGCTGCCATCACCGGAGGCTGATAAAGGCCCGATAAGATCGAGTACACTTCCTACAGCATTATGTTTGAGTTTATCAACAATAGCAGAAAGAGAATTTTTTCTTCCTCTAGAGGAGGGAAAACTAAATTTGGTCTTGTTGCTGTCTGCACTCATAGGTGTTGTTGGAGTACTGGAGGTTGAACGAGCTATCTTTTCAGACATTGCACAATTTGTAATTTCACCGCCGGATTTTGCACCAAGACTGACTTCTGCTTGATCACTTGTAGTTTTCAAGATTGAGGTTGTCACCACTGTTGACACTGCCTCATGGTAAGCTACAGTTGTCAAATGTGACTGAAATGGTTTTTGAGCACCAGCGCTCGTCATAGCATCTCCAGTAGATGAAATAATTGTTGTTGTGCCTGTTGAAAATATACTAGTGCCAGAATGAGATTTGGTAGAACTCAAATGCTGTGTACTTGAAGAAATGTGAGCTGTAGTTTTACTCAGATTTTTGTTTTGTGAAAGCTTTGTGCTGCCTGTGGTGCTGTTGGTGCTTGATGAAATTTTAGCTGCAGTTATTGCATTCTTATTAACGTTTGAGGACTTTGTTGTGCCAGGAGACTGCTTATGTGAACTGTGAGACTTGGTTGAAGAAGATGGGTTCAATGAAGGACGGTTAGTGTTATTTGTGACATTGGGAGATCTACTGGCATTTATGTTTGGAGATTTGCCAGAATTGTAAGCACTGATATTGGGTGATCTGTTCACATTGGTAATGTTTGGAGACTTACTGGCACTGCTCAGACTAGGAGACCTACCTGCGTTAGTTATATTGGGGGATTTCCCTGAGCTGGGCGACTTGGTTTGTCCAGATGTGTTGGGTGACCTATTTACATTGGTTGAGTTTGATGTCCTTGTACTATTACCATGGGAAGTTTGTCTCTGACCACCAGTTGCGTTTATCCCACTTGACACATTTTTGTGCACATTGCTTAAATTTGAATGTGACATTTTAGAATTGTTACTACCACTATTTACTACTTTTGTTCCTCCACTAAATGTTTTCTGAGGAACAGCACTATTTGAAACACTTGTATTAGTTTTGGCTAATGAATTACTTGTCTTATGACTACTGGTGCTTTGCTTTTGACCATTTCCACTAGTGGGTGTGTTACCACTGGATGGATGATGTGCACGCAAACCACTAGACCTTTGTTGGCTGGCTTGACCTGAGTTGACACCAGGACTAGACTGACGATGTGCTGGCCCTGGCAAACGATTGATATTGAAATTTTGCCTATTACTACTGTAATTAAATGCTGCAGTGGTACTCCCTGAAAGTCTTCCACCTCCTGAGCTTTGACCAGAAGTCGTGTTGGAAATAGGTCTGCCTGCAGGTCCCACGTTGTAGCTGTTGTTGTCTTTAGTACCAGATGGTGCTGCCGGGCTTGTTCCTGAAGCAGGATCAAGGCTAGAAGTACGATTGATGGAAGTGTTGGAAGAAGAGGAAGACAATTTTGGAATTCTAGGCAAGCTTGCTATCTTGCTGCCAGTGGGGGCGTTCGGCAATATGCTGGACAAGGAGAGATTAGTTGATGTTGTGGTTGATGTGCTGTTTGATGTAGTGTTTGTGTTGCTTGTAGTTGTTGATGATGATGTTGATGCAGCAGAAGACTGCGAGGAATTTCGGCGATCAACAACATTTGAGGTTGAGCCTCTCCGTTCCAACAAGGAAGTCAAAGCAACTGATCGCTTGTCGACAAGTGGTGTTGCGGAGCCAGAGCCACGTCTCTCTGTCTTGTTTGGATTGGCAAGGTTGGAGCTGGATGTCTTCGAGCCTGATTGGCTAATATTTACAGTAGAACCTGAGTTAGGCATAGTCAGTGGTTTCAGTCTAATGGTAGCCTTGGAAACCAGTTTTGTGTCAGTTTTATTGCTCATGTCACTGACTTGAGCAGGCTTTGAAACAGCCGACTTTGGCGAGGGTTTGTGAGCAGTCTTTCCAGATGCAGAAACAGTTTTATTTACATTGCTTGTTATATTCAAGTCCTTTCCTTTCACACCTTCTCCTATAACAGAAATAGTTTCTTTCAATTCTTGTTTCGGAGGAATGAGCTTTTCCACAGGACTAGACAATGACTTCTTTGAAATTTCATAACTTTGATGAATTTTTCCATCAGATAAGATGTCTGCTTTGTCAGAGATAGGTTTTTTGGCAACTCTTATCTTAAGTTTAAAATCAGCCTTGGAGTCATTCTCTACTGTTCTATACACAGGTTCCTGCTCATTCTTTTTTCTCTTACGCTCACGTTTCGATTCATCCTTTTCTCTTTTTCGTTTTGTGTTGGTCCCCGAGCTTCTCTCTTTTTTCTTAATCTTATCTGACTTTTGAGATAAAGAGGAATCACTGGCACGTTTCTGCTTGGTGGTGGGAGAGGGTGCATACACATACCTATCAGAATAAGGCATTAAAGGGTCATCATCATCTTCATCACTTTTGAAATCAAATGTCCCAATATTGTTAGATGATTTACTTAAAACTATATCAGATTCATCCATAGAATGAGAAGTTTTCACAACTGGTTTGACAATATTTTGTTGTTTTAAAGGTCCCACGCGAAGTTTTAGTGACACTTTCCCTTCAGCAGAGTGGGTTTTAACTTCTGTATTGCCCACTTCCATTTTCACATTCTGTTGCTGCCTTGACATGTCAAACTTTTCAAAAATGCCAATGTTTTGTTTATCATTGTGATGCTCAAGACTTGATGATTGCTGTAACAAACCTTCACGTAAAGATGCTGAAGATGGCTTCACATCCTGGAGCAATGAGTTTATAGAAACTGCCCTATCACTCCCAAGCTGTGCATCACTGAAAAAATTGGAGTTGGCCTTATGCGGTGGTGCACTGAGGACCAATGTGGGACTGTCAGATGATGCTAGTAACAGACTACTCAGCTTAGGTAAATTGCTAATGTTATGGACACTTGCAACATCACTTGGGTCGAAGTCCTTAGCCCTGCCTACCTCTCCCGACCCTTTGAGGAAAACCTCAAGAGAGGTAGAGGCGTTCTCGTTTTTTGAGCCCGATGGAGAATTTTGTAATATATTTGGAATTCTACTCGGAGCCTCAGACTCATTTAATAACATGGACAGATCTTGTTCTGTCTTCACATCCTTATGAGGGAAGTGCTTATCTACACTGTCAACCAGCTTCTTTAAACTAGACTCTCCTGCCAAATTGTCCTCAGTGAGATCAATAACATTACCTTGGGAACGAGCATTGGCAGAATGATTGAGCATAGGGTGGTGAATAAGATGGTGACTTGGACCATGGCCAGGTGGGATGGAAGCCAAGATGGTAGATGCAGAGGATAAGCCCTGGTTTATCAGCCCGGGGCCCATTTCTATGCTCATGGGACTACCAATAGAGCCTAGGCGATCAGAACCATCAGCTTCACCAAAACGATGTTTAGGGCCGGGTCCACTCATTTCTGATTGAGACCGCCTTTTACGAGGACGTTTTCCACTTGAAGTGGGAAGAGGTTTACAGGTCATAGGAATGACAGTCGTAGCTACAGACGTGTTATCATCTAATAGTCTAGACAACATTGGACTATCATGAACTTCTGCCTGCGCACCTCCCATACCCATCTTTTCTTCATCTAATAGTGTTGATAAAAGAGGATTGTGGGCCTTTTCTGATTCAGGCGATAACAAAATAGAATTACCAGCACGCTTATTGCCTTCAGTCATGTTTCGAAACTCTTCCAGGCCTGCCATTACATTTCTAACTTCCAACATTATAGGGATCATTGAAGATTGTCCGTTGCTGCTATTGTGAGTATGATTCATTGTGGGATAATGATGAGAATAGCTTGGTGGTGGAGGCAGGGGCGGAGGATGAGGCGGTTGCGGTGGAGGTCTCCCTTTTGTGGGCAAGGTAGTGGCTTGAAGTTTAGCCTGTCGCTGCTGCATTTCCTTCAGAAATAAGGCTTTTTCTATTCGTTCCCTCTCTGCTGCAAGTGCTGCTTCTTTCAGTTTGTCTAACTGTCCACGACCTTTTCCTATCAGCCAGCGCAGCATTACAGGTATGGACATGCACCTTTGAAAAAATAATTTAAAATGTGTGAATTAATATTTCAAGTAGCAACCCCTTTTAAAAAATTGAAAGAGACAACATTGGAAATAAATAAATTTGAAACCATATACTTTTGTCGAGATAATTATGTTGTAGCACTTCTAGAAAAAATATATACCAAAAATAAAATAAAGAAATAGTATTCCAAAATTTACTTTAACACACTTAAAGTTTAATGAATGTATCCTAGCCAAACAACATAATAGTAGTTTAAAAGTGAAAAACAAACTCTCTCTGCCAATAGAGGATTCTTTCTTCTAGTAAAGACCTTTACCAAAAGTTTCATAACAATGACAATTAGCTTAACCTTTTATAGAGAATGCTTTGACAACAACAAAATTTAACAAAATTACTATACCACAGAAATACAAATTCTCTCAACCTAGAATGCTCACTGAGACTTCTCTTACACAACAAAGTAATAGATTTATATACACTTATAATTTTTTTGTTTTTGAACGATACAAGTTGAAGAAACCAGATGAAAGAGTCACTACATAGTGCTGTTGTTTAATTTGTCACATGTGACGGCTACCTAGAGAGGAAAATTCCAGCTAAATTTTTTTTAAATATTTTTAAAAAAAATTATTTCTTTAAATATGAAAAAAAAAAATGCCTATATTTGAACCACCTCTTTTTTTTTCTACGAAAAAGGACACTGCAACTCTCATTTGTTTAATTTTTAAAGAAACATATATTTAGATATGTTAAATTTTGTCAAAACTAGGTGTCGGAACAATTCAGTCGTCTGCATGGTTCAGGTTCAGTCGTCAGCGGGGTTCAAGTTCAGTTCGATTCCACTTTCTACTTTACAGACGACTTTGAGAGCTATCAATTTTAGGTCATATATAAGAATTTAAAGTAAAATTAAAATATCTCACCTCTGAAAAACCCTTGATATGGCTTCATCAGAGCAAAGTGTTTGATCTGGGTTAGTGCAAGCAACATGGCACTTAAGGTTGGTAATGTCAGTGATGTCAACATCCACTAAAGGAAAAACAAATAAATCAATGTAAATATTGCTAAGTTCTAGGTTTTGCAAATACTTTGTTAAATTTTAAGAAAATAATAACACCTTTAATACAGTAAATGTTATTCCTACAAATGGTTAGAAAAAATTTCACATTAACCCATTTAGAGTGTAAGAGAAAATGTCAGTAGTCCTTCCAGAAATATATAACAACGTTTTCAAATAAATAATATACTTAGGGGTTAATAGAAGTTTGGGAAGTTTGTAAACAATGAAAGAGTTATTCTGAAATATTATTGCTTCCATTTAAGTGTTAAAAAAAACTTTACCTCACAAATATTTCAAAGTTAGTTAAAGATAAAGTTTAAAATAAATTCACTTCTTAAAAAAAATTTGAGCTTTATAGCTTCTTTACCCTCCTAACTGTTAATCACTGAATAAACATCACCTGTGATCATAGAGTCGTATGCAGGATGTTCAAATACTATTGTTAATTGTTGGAGGGACACAGCAGTCACTTCAAACACAATAGTGTTAGACGAATCTGGAGAAACAAAAACAAATTCGGTATTTCTATACAAATGTCTGTATCAAAGGTTACAAATAATTATGGAGATAGTGAAAACAAAAGTTTCATTAGCAAAAGATAAGAATAAATACGATAGAAGGCAGAAAAGTCATAAATTAATTTTTTTTTAAATAGTTGGGTGGGAATTTACTCGCCAGGCGAGTGTAATTACTGGGTATATATTGATTTTTAGAGAAGAATGAAAAATATGAATAATTTTTTAATTAATTATTTAGGTGACAAGGTAGAATCATCAAGTCCCATGTGCATTACAAAGCACACAGGGTGGGGTGACATGGACAGGCAGGTAATTTGGGTATATATTGATTTTTAGAGAAGAATGAAAAATATGAATAATTTTTTAATTAATTATTTAGGTGACAAGGTAGAATCATCAAGTCCCATGTGCATTACAATGCACACAGGGTGGGGTGACATGGACAGGCAGGTAATTTGGGCCCTTCTGTATTTTCAAAATATAGGGCCAGGAAACAGAGCTTTAATAATTCATATTTTATATTTATTATTTTGCAAAATTTAATGTTCTCATATACATGAACTGAATGAAAAATAACAAAAATTATATATTGGTCTACCTTTCCTGCCAGCAGGCCTTATGCAACTTGCTATAACCATGTTAAACAACAACTGCTGTCGCAAGTGGTTTAGGATCTGCGGCACATGGGTTGGGTGAGTAAATGGAATGCGAGATATCATCATTCCCTGTTGATCTTGAGAACCTCCATTTAAACCATCAAGAAAATAGATATGTTGCTGATCTGGCAGAGACTGAATGTTGGAAATTGTAAAATTTGACATTAATGTTAAACATAATTATTACACGTGTTAACAATTTGTCTCTTTAAGTATCTTTAAGTAGAAATAGTAGTTAAACACATAATAAATAAAAAAAAAAAAAAGAATATACCACATAAATTGCTGATCTGGCAGAGACTGAATGTTGGAAATTGTAAAATTTGACATTAATGTTAAACATAATTATTACACGTGTTAACAATTTGTCTTTTTAAGTATCTTTAAGTAGAAATAGTAGTTAAACACATAATAAAAAAAAAAAAAAAAAAGAATATACCACATAAAGTTTCTGTGAATCTTTGATTTTCCCATCTGAAAATGATTCTAAGATGAGTGTACGCAGACTCCTACATTCTGCATCTTTATGGATTTCTAGACCTATTTTGATAAAATAAGGTAAAATCCTTTTTAACACAAACTATACACTTATGCTGGATGATGTTAGACAAGTATAATAATTCTAAAAGTGGATCCTGACAAAGTTTTAGAAAAATAAATCAATCAATTATAATCAAAAGTACATATAATTATTTTTTAATGTATCAAAACAATTAATCCTTACTCTTGCGTGATATTAAATTATATAAACTAACACCAGTAATAATTCTTACCATTATAATATTTCCACTTGTATAATGTTTAAAATATTAACTAACACAACAATTACTTTTTGCTGTATTTTTCTTAAGTAGTAAGAAAAAGAAAATTGTAGGTATATATGCACAACTATTTACTTGTAAGTGATGTAATTTTTTGCAGCAACTGAGTAGATATGGGGATGCTCTGAGGTAGAACAAGGACAAAATTGGCAGGAAGCATCATACTGTTAATTTTGCTAACAGCAGAAAAGGAAGGAAGGCTGGAGAAAAAAAGTTTTTTTAATAATCTTTGACCTTCGTCGTAAGGCTGAAACTAAAATTTAGGAGCAATCTTTAATGGTACAATATAATTAAAATATTGTTCATATTCTAAAAAAAAATAATTAAAAATAATTGGTAACCTATGACATTAAAGATTTTTTAAAATCTGGTTTTTCACCTTTTTCCATCTTGTGTTTTACTGACTATCATTAGTGGCATGGTCTGTAGTTTATTTGGTGCAGCTGACTCAGGAACTGGCTCTATGCAAACAGTCACACTCTGACCCAGGAAGTTTTCAGTAATAGCTTTAAAAAAAAAAATTTTAAACTGAGGACTTGAAAAACCTTTACTTTCTATTATTTAAATTATAAACTCTATATCTGTTAGTTTAAATTTGTTAAAAATATCAATTTTATGCCTAAATTGAGATTTTTAATATAAAAATTGGTCTGTGCATCGTGTTTCGGTTATGTTCATGACCCAATTTTGGTCCACCATATTGCCAGTCCTGTGAAACTTCACTGACTGGTAGCACTAAATGACACAAAAATGGCTCATTATGTATCTTCCAATGACATTGTTGATTATATTTCAAGTCAAAAAATGACATTAGCTTGATAAAAGCAAGAAGAAGACATGACTGCTGATGATTTTGTGTATTTTCACCTGATCGAAAGTTCGCTAACAGCGGTTAAGATTTTAAAATTTTATGACGTCAGAACGCACTCAAATTAGGTACAATTTAATGGAACATACTATATTTACATCGATATATTGTACAGTGGGCGATATATTGTACAGTGGGCGTCTTAAATATTGAAAATAAGTATTTAAGCTTACTCATATTAATTTCTTCCTCCAGTTCACCAAGCGTATATTTTATTTTTTTCCATAAGCATAGTTGTTCGAAATTTCCTTTTTATTTTACATTGGATATGCTAAGAGGCAATGACTTTTCGGTCCATAATTTATTCTGGATTAAAAACAGCTTTTAATTTTTTAAAATTATTTCTGAATGATAATGCCATTAGTTTAGTTCAGTTTTTTTTAAAAATTATAATATCTAAGCCTATATGTAATTTGTTATATTATCATTTCACAGTATTAGAGTGGTGACTAGGACAATGGCAACACAATCATCATGGCTATGTTATTCCTGTCATAAGACCATAGCTACTTACTGAAACCTGTCCAAAACAAATACCTTCACTTTTTATACTTTTCAACTTTAATGCAACAAGGCTGGAGATGCTTTGTGAATGTACAGCTGCAATTTTATGGCAACTAAGCTAATTTTATTTTAAAACTGGACATTACAGCTGATAAAAAAATAATTGCACTTCTAATCTACACGCCCCACTTGTATGAACTGTTACTGGATATAAAGGAATTACTTCACTGGATTATGGAACTCATAAGTTGATTTTAGGCCATATACAGGCCTGTACAGTAAGTTTCTAAAAGAAAAATGAGTAAACTGCTAGTAAGCAGGTCCAGCTAATTTCATATGTACCTGATGAAAGGACATGCATGTAAATATGGTCCCTGGATCAAACATAATAAATAATTAAGAGAAGCAGGAGAGGAGAGGACCTATTCATTTCATAAATGTAACACAATACCTGTATGAATAACATTTCTGTAAATGAACCATTGGTTCTTGCAGATTCAAATCACTCTTTTTTAAAATTTATGAATGTATATTTTAAATGTGGCATAAATAATACAAATGTTGGTAAAATTGCTGTTAATTTGTATATGTGTTGCAAAATATCATTGATGGATATAATAAAAATTTAATTTAGGACTCTATACCTATTTTTTTGCTTCTAACTGTTTGTGGTATGTTCACATTTTTATGAAAATTTAGCTTACCTAAAACCTAATCTTTTGGCCATAAATGAAAACCATAATTAACTGTGATCTCGTAATTGGTATCAAATAATAGAACATTCAATTCTGAATTCAATGATATATAACATTTTATTACTGGAATGTTCTTCATTGAAAAACCAGCCAGATTGTAAAGGTACCTCACCAGGGAGAAAAAGTGGCGGAGAACCAAGAATATTTGAGAGTTAAGTGAACATGGAACAGAAACAAATGATTTCAAAGCGCTATGCAAATTAAATATTTACCTTCAACAGTCAAAGGATGAGCAGTTAATGATTTTTTATCCAACAGGTCATAAGGTGACACAAAATAAATTAGTTTCATTGGTTTACCTATGAAATGGCAAAGAAAAATTATTTTGAAAATCATTTTGTCTTAAAATTATATTTTAAACAAGCAAGGCAACAAACTATATTACAATTTTTGTTTATAAACTTGCATTAAGTTTGGTACATTATTACTCTTGGGTGTTTTAATCAGTATTTATAATCAGTTAGTTTTGTAATAGATAAGCAAGCATAGAATAACTTTAAGAAACCATAGAACATTAAAACAACAGCTTACCAGCTAGTCGAGGCAGCATGATTCCAAGAGGACACTTATGGATATAATTGGCAACACCACTGATAGAACTGAGCAAATGAATGAAAAATACAAACAAAATATCAACCAAAAGGTTATTAATTCCTACATTATAATTTTTCTAGGCGTAATATTTATTTACTAAGTGTTTAACCAGGTGAATTTTTTTTTTTTACACCAGGTCCAGATATTTTGAAAAAATACCCGGTGGCTCCAAGTGTTACAAAAGATATGTAGCTTCTCATTTTCTACATTTTATGCCAGCCTTTAAACAATAGGCCTACAGATAGTCCTACACCATACCTGTCGGCTTTTAAATAATAGTCCTACAGACAGCCCTAGACCATACCATGGCTCTTTATTGATTCCACAGCCCTAATAGGGGAATATNATTGATTCCACAGCACTAATAGGGGAATAGGGGGGGGGGGGGGGCGAGCAGGACATGCAACAAGCAAATAATTATAAGAGATATTGATTAATATAAATATATATATGATGTATATTTTATCAGTATCCTTTTGATCCCAAAGAAATGTTACCTCTGAAATTGTGAAAGCTGATTTAAATCTTTCTCAAGGGCTTGAAGAGCTAAAAACGCTTTTGATTTCAGCTTCCTGTAGAGAGGAAGTATGAAAAGAATAATATATAGATTTAAGACTAAAAATTCAATCAATCTTAATTTGCTCATGAAAACAATTTATAAATCATATACAATTCTTAGCTCAAAAACAAGAGTATATGACACCTGTAGGTGAAGAAAATTTAGATACCCTTGTACATTGTGTGTACATATTATATATGTCACATAACTTGTCCATCATTTCTTGCTTCCCAATGTTGAAGAGGTTAATGAAATATCCCCAAGATACCAAGGCCAGATTGAAAAAGAGGGAACAACCTCAACTTCACAGAAGGGACAAAACTATATGTGTCAAGGCATGTGTGCTCACATCTTTCCAAGCAATGACAGGTTTCACTTTAAGTGTATGCAGCCATATTCAGTGGCTGAACGAAGTTCCCAACACTGATGTCCTCGAACAACCCAACAATTTCTTCACTCCCAGCTAAAAGGTTTCACTGGAGAATGGGGCCAGATCACAATGACAAAGATTTGTGGGCTGATAGCAAATGGGAGAGCTAGGCTGAAAACAGTTCCAGATGATGCCAAACAGGAAGGCTAAATAACAGATTTTGCTCTGATCCATTACACCATTTGGACGTTTAAAAAAAAAAAAAAAACGAGTTCTTTTTTTAAAGTTCAGGGTATCAGCTGAATTAAGTAAATATTTCTGAAAATTAAGTTCATGATAATTTAGTATTTCTTTCTTTTTCTTTTTTTTGTTGTTACCAGCTTACATAAAAATTTAAGAAAAAATGTTTATCAAGATACCCTCCTTGGAGCATCATAGGAATGAGATTAGATAATATGTTATATATATATGTTTAATGCAAAGCGATGATCAGTTTTATGAAGACAATTTTGAGTTATTGTGGTTTTATTTGGTATTCTATGAAATGATTACATCGCCTGTTGTTGTAGCTGGTGACATTGCTGCAGCTGAAGTCTGATCAGCCACACTTTAAGTAAACCTGCTTGTTATAACTTTGGAAAAAACTCTTCTGCCTTAGTTAACTCAGGTCATTAAAGTTATCTTATCAAAAATTGACATACTCATCGCTGGTGACTTGATAAATGCTCTGAAGGCCCTGCAAGTGTTCAATGAATTCTGTAAAATCTCCTTTTCTGAAAAAATAAAATAATGTAAATACAGCAAAGACAAAATCGGAAACCAGCTTTATTCTATAAATTAATCATCTTTGTCAATAATACAAAGATGGGAATAATTAAGGTTAAGAACACATACAAATTTAAAAAGCAGATAGTATAAGATGACTTCTGTCTGAAACATAATCAATAAAAATCATTAGTTTCTTTTGAAAGAGAGTAAACTAAAGTAAAAATTACTCACTTTAAAATGTCTTTAAGATCTGGACAATCCTGTTAAAAGAAAATATAAAAGATTTGAAATGAAATAGTAAATCTAAAAAGTAAAATAAATTCCTTTGACAAAAGTTATTAAAGAATTAATTGCAAGTAAAATTTATGGCCTGAAATTTCTCCAAATCTTTGTTTTTCTCAACAGTATATAAATAATGTAAGATCTGAAAGAATATGAAAATATTACGCTGAATAATGATCATGCTTTTTAAAATATGTTAATTAAAAATATTCACTGGAATAAGACATACTTACAGCAAACTTCTATTTTTATTGAACGAAATAAAAACTGTCATTACATTAAACTTAATAAAAAGTAATGTTTAAAAATATCACACCCTTTTGAATAACTGAAAAGCATTGCCAAGATTTAGCTGCAACTTACAACGATATCCCCTTGATTTGCTAATTTGACACTGCTAATGGTATTTCCATCCAACAAAACATCCACATGAAATGCATCAGAGCTCAGTGAGACTTTCTGGTCCTGAATAAGTGTGCTTAGGCCTAACTGGCGCCCTATCAAATCTAATCTTTCTTTTAAAGTTTGTTGGGATACCACTGCAATAACATGTGGGAAAAAAAGTTACTAAATGTCAAGAAGGAAAAAAAAAATTATTAAAGACAATTAATGAATATGAATGATAATTTCAGACTATGATTCATATTTATGAAATAAAATTATATAAGAGTACTCATACAATAGAGATCTCCACTTAAGCAGGATATGATAGAGAAAGATTAAGATCTGAACATATTTTGAATATGCATTCTTTAAAGGTAAAATACAGCCATCATATCTATGATTTGGCATAAATTCAACCTTAAATGCACTCACCCAATAAACTGCATTCACCTTTTGGGGGAAAAAAAAAGACTATACAAACCTTTCATAGCTCTCTGTATGGTGTCTAAACATGTTTGAACACTAGAAGCTTCATTTACATCTGGCTGCATTCTACGTTCCTGTGAAAATTAAGAAAACTTTTGAGCCTTTTCATGTTGCAAATTGGGTTACAAAGTGGCTGAGAAACAAATAAAAGTGATACATGCTTTGACTCCCACCCTTTAATTAATATGTTCAATATATATATATCATCCTTCCATGTTCATCACCAAAGACCAGAGGAAAACGGTTCAAAAGCAGACCTACACTTGGATGGATGAAGTGGAAAAAGATCTACAACAACTGGGAATACAAGCATGGAAAAGAAAAGCATTAGTTAGGTCTGAGTGGAAGGAAGCAGTGAGGCAAGCCAAAGCCCTACATGGGCTGTAATGCCACAGGGAGATGGTTGGATCCTTCCATCTTTACCAGACGATGGAGTAGCTATTAACATTTTATTAAATGGCAGTCTCAGCTGTACTTCTCGCAGAAGATTCCTGGTTAAATTTGGCCATCTGTAATGCTCCTTTTTGTTGCAAGGTTGTTTTGTGCATCTGCTGCCTGTTGAAATTCCTTCATACACTTTTTCCCTAGCTGGAATGGTGCTCAGTGATAATTTCCTATTTGATAATTTTTATTTTTGCTTCCTCATGTCTCTTTTGCAACTGTCCTTAAATCGCAGTCGCTACCTAACCAGTGAAAAACATCAAAAATTAAAAATAGTAGCACAGGGGAACCCGCTTATCTTGACATCGGTTAACTCGTCAACCTTGTTATGTCAACATTTTTGAAGAGGAACCACCAAATTCTCTCTTTGTCTTAGCATTTTCTCTTCGGTTATGACGATTATTTTAAGTTGCCGAACTATGATATCTCGCACACAAAAGGCGGCCAAATTCGCTCCTTAACCTCTGTTATCTCGTTCCCCATGACCAATTGCCGGCTTTTGAACTACGCAAGAAGAAATAGCAAACAACAAATAAACAACTTTTTCAAAAATAAAAATAAGTATTTATTTCTCAAAATACAGGGCTTTTGTTTCAGAATGAACCTAGAAGTAATTTAAATAAATCTTTTAATTCGAGGTTTAAAAACCCAGTAGAGTCCATATTATAAATGATCATTATTTGCCCAGTGCAAAACGTCATGAGCAGTCATTCATGGTCACTTGCAAAATGGCTATGCCCTGGTACTACGTCAGAGTTTCATTCATAAGAGATTGCAGTGAGCAAAAGCTAATAAAGGGAAAGCTTTAAATTAAATAGTCATGTGCCAAAGTTGAAAGTTCAAAATAAGTAGTCCCTAAACAGTATTTTAGTAATAAGGGGATGTGTTGCCTTATACTTATATAGTCATTGCACAAGACGTGATCAGCAGAATGATGTAACAAAATGTGGAGACTTCATGCAAAGTAGAAAATACCAAATCAACTCGCACTTAAAAAATTCGTAGCTCAAAAAGTACTTAAGTTAAAAATTTGATTCTGGTTTCATTTTTTTCAATTTGAAATTTGCTCTAAATAACTGTAATTAAAAAACAATTTTTTTTTTAAAAACTGTAGTACCTGCATTTATTAACGCACATCATGAACATGAATGAAATTTCAAGCACATGTTAATATATTGCCGTCATATTGGCTTTCGTTTATCTCAACTCTTTTTGGCAGATCCCGAGGACATCAACATAACCGGGTTCTACTGCACTTTAAGTACACTGATAATTTTTAATGAAGCACTTAAAATTATACTTACTGCTACAGAACTTCGCACAGATTTGATGCTATCTGTCCATGAGCGATTTTGAGAATTTTTATGCCTGAGTCGTTCTATCAGTGACCCTTGAGTTCTTTTTGCAACACGGCCTGTATAAGTATTGAACAATAATCAAATCTAAATATTTTAGGATTGTGATCATCAAAATATACACACTTTGAAAATGTATTTATTTAAAAAAATGTTAATAAAAAGGAATCTACGGCATTAAATATCAGTGTGCTTCATAAACGCCACAAAAATGTATAATAACCCAAAGTAAATTTAAAATATTTTTTGAAAACTTTAATAAAATAAATGATAGGAATTTGTTTGCTACTAGTACTTATATCTGCTTTAATGTGTTGGTTTGAATACACTAATTATAAGAGCTTAAAGAGGGTTGGACTGCAATAAAGCCTGTAAGTAGATTAATAAGACACCAACAATTTTTGTAAGTAAAACAGCATAGGTAAGGTCTGGATAAGCTTTAATTATGTGAAGATTTAAGAAATTTTGGCTATTGCTTCACCAGTACAACAGAAAAACAAATAACATATTGTAAATAAAGTATATCCTATCTGTTAAGAAACCTTAAAAAAAAACACACTTCTCTATTACTGGTTTTATCTGAAGTTCAGTAGACCTAAATCCCTAAGCCAGTAAACCTATTACAATACCCACAAAAACTAGTAGTTATAAATTAGAAGGTCCTACTTGAAATTAAATTTAAAAGTAATGACAGGCTAATAAATCATAAATGAATAGGCCTAACCGCAATGCAATAATTTTATTATAAATTAACATTTTGAGAATTAAGTAGCCTCTTAAGACTTTACAGAGGTGTATTTATTTATTGTTACTGATATTACTTCTATATCTTTCCTTAGACTTAGGCCTACCTAAAAATATCTAATTTCTTGTTTTTTCTTGTCAACTAAAAAAGGGATACAGCTAAAATGTTGTGTCTTTTCATTTCAAGCTTTAACATAGGCTATTTTTTGTTCCCATATTTTCTTCACAGAGCTTGAATGCAGTCTCTCAAATATTTATCTAGGCCTAGTATTCTTTAAACTTTATATTATTATATTAATATCTTACACAATGCTCTCAGTGGGAGGCATCGAACTATTTTAGTTATAGTTTATTTTTAACTAATGTTTTAGTCAATAAATTCTAGTCTGTTGGCCAAGGCAGGCTAAATTTTGAATGAGATTTGAATTACCAAGTAAACTCAAATTATACTTATTATACTATATTAAATTATATTGACTATTATAGATAGCCCATTGCAGTGCAATATTTCAATACTGGTCAATAGACCTAGGCCAATATTAATTCCAATAGTGATAACTGATATTGCTACATTGCCCATATATAGACCATGTTTCAATGTAACGGGATCTAATATTAATACGAAAACAAGACAACAAATTAAAATATGTTTCCAAACTACTTAGCCACATATTTATCTCAACACTTATCTCAATGGATTCATGATAGTTTATTGGGTTTATTGATATTTTATATGAGAGCGTTAAATTTATTTGTATCTAAATTACACATTTTTTAAACCAAATCGATGATTACAGATTACATTGTAAGCATAATAATTACCGTGCGATAATTGGTGGTCCAAATAAACAGAGGGTATCCCAGTTTCCGCTGCCATCTTTGATTGTGCACTCAACAATCCTCAGCGGCCTCTGGTAGTGGCTTGTTTCATTAGTAAATTAACGAGTGCAAGGCTGGGTAAGGGCATAGTCATTGTAGCGTTTTGAACAATATTAAAATAAAGGCTAAGTATTTACCACACAAAATTGTAAAATCTCCATTTTTCGATGAAAACATTCCAAGTTATGCGTACATTTGCATCCCAAGCATTGTAAACGCACTTCCCCAGCCGGGGTCACTACGCAGGGTCACAATGACGTCATCAATCCCATCACACCTTTGAAAGTTATCGCCATATCCAGTTTGGGAAAAAAGTTTATCTTCAAATGAATAGTGTTTGACAGTATTCCTTTTATAATTTATAGTGAGTTCGATATTAATAAAACTAAGAAACGGCTTAATGTTTACTTATTATTGAAATAATTTGTTTTCTTTCCTCAATCATATTAATTAGTAAAAGAAATTAATTTTTAATGCATTGACCGGTGTAAACTTATCAGAATATCTTTGCGGAAATGTCCATCCAAACCTTTATTCTGGGCGGACCTGGGACTTACATTTAATTTTATAATCTGATTAAATGGCCTCCCGTAACTATAGCGTAACAGTTCCAATCAATGCTTATATTTATATGCCTACATATAGTGTTTAATATATGATTGTAAAGCTAATACTGCATAATACTACTTGCAGTAGACTGAGTGAGTAAGCGTACTAAATAATAGTAATAGTAATGAGTAATGTTAATAACTAATTAATAAAATATAACTATGATTCAGTTCATTCAGTTTCACTAGTCTGTAGTAGTAGTAGTAGTAGGCTGAGTGAGTGTACTAATAATGACTAATATGAATAATTTTTAAATATTATGTTTCAGTATGATATGCCTAACTTATTTAACCTACGATCATTTATAGTATTTAATTTTTAATGAAAATAATTAAGATACTTTTAGTTTGATTGTTGCTGCTTATACTTATACTATACTTATAATTATAATATTAAATTTAAAATTTAAATGGTGCTATTACTTAAAATTACTATAAATTTTGCTATGAATACTAATGTAAATGAGTTTGTTTACTATGGTCCAGAGTCAGCACTTAATTTTAACTGTAGCCTAAATAATAAATGGGGCCCATTAATGCCATCATCATTATGATGATAGGCGCAAATACTAAAAATGGCTTGACGCAGGAAAATGCACTTGACCATTATAGTTTTGGGTTAATTCGGTTAATAAAACGAATGTAAGTAAATTTTCATTTTAATAAATTTCATATTAACTATCAATCGTTAGATTTACTTTTTAAGAAGTAAATAATGCTCAATGAAGAACCGGAAAGTCATCATGCATATCAATCAGGACCAACAATTGGTCTATGAACATATCCAGTGTTGAGACACTTCTTGGCAAAACCAATGTCGCAAACTACATTTATACAGTATTATTTTTATGATTCATTTGCTTGTCAAAAATGAGAAACTCCCATACTAAATACATCAAGAGACCCTAACAAATATACATTTTCTGAAAGTACATTGAACAATGTATCTTATAGTAAATAGTATGATAAGAATTTGTTTTTATATTATGTATGGTGATATTGACCTTTACAGAGTGAGTAAAATTGTACCACTCAACTTCTGAATTCAACTCAACATAATACTCCATAACTTATTCAAACTATCATAAAATCACGTTTGTGAGGTGCTAAATGCAATATTCTTTCAGAAAATGTCAAGTTATGGGTATGAAAATTGTAATTTTGGTGAATTTTGTTTTTTCATTCACTACCTTCTAATTTCTGTATTTTAAAAAATACAAAGGGAAAAGTACGAACTGATTTTAAAAATTCTGTTTCAATTGAAGTCATTAAATCCATTTTTTATTCATTAATTTCATTAATATTCCGGAACATACATAAACATAAAAGTCTTTAAATCTCTTTATCATCTTAATTTTCTGGGGAGGGGAGAGCCTTCCCCAAATGCCCCCCCCCCCCCCCCCCCCCCCCCCCCCCCCCCCCCCCCACCANCCCCCCCCCCCCCCCCCGTAATGCCGGTACAAAAAAAAAAAATTTTCGGGGATGGAGACACCACTCCCCACTTTCAATACAAAACTAAAAACAAGGAAAAACAAACTATAGTCTACAGTAAATTCAGAGATAAAAATCGAAATCTTTGAATATGGAACTATGCCCATTAGTTGACCCAGGAACCTCCTTAACCTATTTACAGTGGAAGACATCGCTAGCCCTGCTGCTAAATGCATGTTAGTCGAACAAAAGTCCTGCACCAGATGCAATAGTTGTGCCTGCTTAGTGTGAACACCTCCATGAGATATCAGTGTCTTGGATTTTCAACATGGATTCAGCACTGTGTGGCTGGAACAAATCCTATGTGTGAATGTACCTAAATCTTAATATTTTTTTAATTTCCTGATATTTATAGTCCAGACCTCCACTAATTGAATCTAGCAAAATGTAAACTTTAAATTAATACAAGTAAAGCCCATATAAATCAAATACTTTTTCAAAATATTTATGGACAAGATCAAGCCCATTTAAATTATTAATTGTTTCCCTAGGCTTAATTATTAAGATTATTATTTAATAGCACAATCAAATAGTAAAACCCATTTAAACTTACAAACGCTAAGACTGTGAGTTTAATGTAGGCAAGAGCTTCCCACACCCCCTAGCATAGAATTAAAAAGATAATACTGCAACATTTACAACTGCAATATCCGATTTAACGTAAAATATCAACACTATCCAAAAAAACAGTGTTCAAGTTAAGTATGTAAATCCACCTAGTAAGAAGTTATGAGGGGATTTTATATGATTCTGTGCAAATATGCATCAAACGGCAAAACCCAATATATCAAACCTTTAGAAGAGAAACAATTTTTGTTTCTGAATGTTAAACCTTCACTCACTTAGCTCTACTTTTTAAATTCAACTTAATAGTTTATATTAAGTCTCATGTTTTTTTTTTTCCTTCTGAATATTTGCTTCCCAAAATTGAAACTTGTGCCCAAGGACTTGATTTTAGACCAGTTTTGGCACGACCTTAAAATCAAATGTGGTGTTAGTATAGATGGAATATGCCTGTAAAATCTATTTCAGAGAGTGGCCTTTTTGTCTGATTAAGTGTATGTTGTTATCAGAAAACTAACATTAATCTTTACTAACTTTCTTCTTGAAATAAATTTGATAACTAAGAGTTATCTTGCTGATATTTTTTAGTATCTAGGCACAAATATATTCCTTAATGACTATAGCTCTTTAAGGAACTGATGAAGATGCAGCATATAAGCTTTATACACAAAGAAAATAACTTGACTTTAATTCTTTTTTTTTTTTATATATAGTCTCAAATGAACACAATGTATCTTTCAGGAAACAGTTGCAAAAAATACCATAATGTCAAAAACCAAAGCACAACAACCTGCTGTTATACACAAAGTAATTATGGTGGGTAGTGGTGGTGTAGGAAAATCTGCACTCACTTTACAGTTTATGTATGATGAGGTAAGTTCTGTTAAATGATATTTTTCTTTTAATGTGTGATATTAGGAACAATGCTGTTATCGTTGCCATGAAAAATCCTCTACAGGATAATACTGAATAGAATAAAAGACAATATTAATTCAAATCTGAGAGAGGAACAAGGTGGTTTTAGGTGACACATGAAATAAATAAAATAACTACCCTATACATTATTTTAGATCAGTAGATTTGAAAGGAATGTCCCAATTACATCAATTGTATAGACTTTGAAAAGGCTTTTGCTCTTGAGACAGCCACTATGGAAACCCCTCATAGGATTCCATCTAAAATTTAATAAAATATACATTACACTAAACAGTTACAAATCCACAACTTCAAAACTACAAGGCTCACTAACAACAAGAGATGAAACATTTACAAAAAAACAAAACAACAACATCTTCCTACTTTTGAAAAATCCCTATGCTAATTATATAAGTCTGCGCCGCCCCCAACAATTAAACGTGATGCAATTTTTTGGACCCTAATCATCATCATATTGTAGTGAAATTTCACTGTATGGGGAGGTATGAACATTGCAATTCTGCTTACAATCCTCCAGGATTGTGGATTTCTATAGTGAATGTAAACACCCTCTCATTAGCCTTGGAAAAAATTTTTTTGCGATGAGGCACAGAGCTTTGATAATTATGCAAGTGTTGAGATAGAAAAAATTTTAAAAATGTAATCAGTACAGCGTCAGACAAATTAATACACCCTATGTAAACAGCACCAAGATTCCTGCATATTTTTAAAAGCATACTGTTAAACTGTTAATTTATTGTACAGTTAGTGTTTTATTCTTCTTCTTACAATTGTGCCTGTAGATATTTCATGTGACCCCCACCCCTGCCAAAATTTACAGTTAGAACATTGTTTGAACACTGTAGACTATTCCATAAAGATATTGGTAACAATTACAATTTTGTTAATAGCTCAATAATTATTTTCATTTTTTATCATTAACACACACAACCCTCCACCCCCCAATGAAGACACCCCAGTTTTTATGATTAAATTATTTTATTTCTATTAAGCTTAACATTTATTCTTTCTAGTTTGTTGAAGACTATGAACCAACAAAAGCTGATTCCTATCGGAAAAAAGTTGTTCTAGATGGTGAAGAAGTCCAGATAGATATTTTGGATACGGCAGGTCAAGAAGACTATGCTGCAATACGTGATAATTATTTTAGAAGTGGAGAGGGTTTTCTTTGTGTATTTTCAATTAGAGAACAAGAATCTTTTCAAGCAACTCAAGATTTCAGGTAATATTTATTTTTCTAATGGTAACAAATTCAATCATCAGTGTTTTGTTTTTTTAATGATAATGTAATAATTAATTTAGGATTGTATCTATTATCCCACTCCTTCCTATAACCCTGTTCAGCATCCTTCCAAGTTCCCAAACATTCCTCCTTGTATTGCCTTTCATTTTTTTTATGCTCATTCAGTGCGCCTAGCAACCTTACTACCACATAACATGACTGCTAAAGCTTGCTGCTATTCTCTGAATGAATTAGCTTTTGTTTCTAAGGCAAAAGAGTTAGAAAAACAATATGGCTTTTAAATTTCTGGATAAGTTTATTAGCAAGTTTGGTTGATCAAATTTGTATGTCTCCAGTTTTGATTGTGTACCTAATTTTGTTTCAGTTGTCAATTTTATGTCTATGAGAAGATAAGATTAGATTTTTTTTAATGATCAAAATAAATGGAAATGTGTTTTGATTACATTGTATATATTCTATTTCAGAATATGGATAAATGTTCTGTTTAATTAAGATAACAATTTTTGAACTAGATAGATGGAGACGTAAGACATTTTAAGTATTTCTCAAGCATGAAAATCATTCATCAGATATCGTAAAACCTCACTACCTAATGACAATATTAACTTTAAGAGTGATTTCATAACAGCTGGGGAGCAAGCTGGTAAATTCTGACAGATTTAAATGAATTTTTTATCTATTAAGGGAAAATAATATTGCAATATTTTGGCAGATATTCTCAAGATTACCCCTTTTTTATGACAGGGATATAGCATAATGTGGTGTGTAACCAACCTTTTTATTTGTTGATGTTATTTCTTAATTTGGTTAGTTTAGTTTTTCTGAGATGATAGCAGCATGAGTTGTCCAATTTTTCATTCATTGGGATTTAGAGGGGATGATAGTTTATTTCATTATTGGTGGATGTAGGGCAGTTTAGGGTGCTGTCAAAGTTACCGGATCAGCATTGAATTTTCTCTCAGTGATCATGTCTTCCCATCAGATTATAAGGGGTATCCTATGTATTATTATTAGGTTTTGTATTGCGCAGTACCCCAGCCTAGGGCTAGGGTCACTGTGCATCACATAAAAATTAGCAATTACAGTATTAGCAAGTATACATTTTAAAAAAACAATTGGTGAAAAGCTTGACATCACCCATTCAAGTACTATCTACCCCTGTCTAGCTGTTGGACAGCACCCATCAGAATTGAGCGCTGTTTATCAGTCAGCATGAGTCAGTATAGTAGTTTGAAGAGATTAATCATTATATAATATATGTGCCATTAACTCTTTCAACCCCCCCCCCCCCCCCCCCCCCACCACTATTTTTTTCCCAGGCTGCACATATACTTTTTTTGTTCACCCCACTCCTCTCCAAAAAAATTTATTATTTTTGCAGAAGATAATCACATCTCTGTAAACCATGTTAAATATGTGTCACTGGTTTTCTCCATCTGTTTGACGAATCCCAGTTATTTCCAAAATGTGCAGCTTTCTCACAGGGGGGCTGTGAAATATTACACAATTTTCATAATTTGCTTTCCAATTTCAAACTAATGTGACAAGACACAACATCTAGCGGACCTGGTGCAAACTCATTTGAGTAATTATGGTTTGCAGAAGCTCTAATGGTTACTAGATGAAACTTAGTGTTTTGTTTAGAGGGTTGGGTAACAATAAAACTCTTGTGGAAGTCACATTTTAAAAAATGTTTTCACTATTTCAAAACATACTTGTTTGAATTTCACAGATTTTTAGGTAAAAGAGGAAATTATTTGAGATATATATAAGCTATTTATAGAGTGTTAGAATTTCAGGATAGTTATTGCAGCATTTGTGCATATTGGAACATACCCCAATGCCTGTGTATGCTATAGATGGCCCCGACAACACACATTTAAAAAAGCAATACAGAATTTCTAATATATAGTTGGTGGGTGATTAATCAACATCATCCACTGTTGCAAGGCTACATTAGATCACTTTGTCAACAAAAGTATGACTATGTTTTTGTTATAAGCTTTGTTATTTAACTGAGTAGTGATTAAAAATTAATCATAAGATAACTAATGTATGATCCTATGGTATCTTATTGTCCTAATGCTTTAAACCTTTTTTCACCATAAATTTCTAGGGAACAAATTCTTCGTGTTAAAAATGATGAGAACATTCCCTTCTTACTTGTTGGCAATATGGTTGATTTGGCTGATCAAAGACAAGTCAGTGTAGAAGAAGCAACTAGAAGAGCTCAGGAATGGAAAGTTAACTATGTTGAAACATCAGCAAAAACTAGGGCCAATGTAGATAAGGTAAACATTTGTTTTTCTTTCAAGTATACCTTGTATGTAAAAACATTTTTTTAATGGACCACTGATGTTTTTTATACTTAGAGATTTCCAATTAAATTTCTACTCTGATTTCCTCATCACTAATAAAATTAAATTTTGTTGAACATTTTAAAAAAAATTCCAAATAGCTTAAAGCTTGGGATTTATCAGTTCCCTTAGTCTGCTAGTTATGTTTGGTATTTGGAATGTTTTTATTTTAAAGTATGTGCATAAAGTTCATGCATTAATGGCAGTAAGATTATTCATTATTAGAACTGAGAAATTTGTTAACAGTATAAAAGTATTGTCTTTATGTCTGTATTATAAAGTTGTCTTGGTGCCTACCAAACTGAGAAGGTGTATTTTAACGTCATTAGCATCCATTCTATGCTATGATGGAGGCTCATTTTACATTCTCATACCAATATTAGATTATCTGAATATCTGATTAAACCTGTGATGAAGCCTGTGATATATAAGCTATATATATGCCAGTTGATGCCAGTTACTATTTAAATTTAGTAGATATCGTATATCATCGTATAATCCACTGGATAGGCTTTTTTCTTTTCATATTTCTGACAGGTTTTCTATGATCTTTTACGTTTGATTGGCAAATATAAATTGACACCTGCGGGCCGCAAGGCATTAAGTCAAAATGCTGCCAATTTACCCTCAGAGACTACTGGGTGCAGTTGTGTTCTCATGTAACATTTTTGGGAAGTGGGTATGGTAAACAAGGGAGTTCCTAAGATAAACCCAACACCTACCTTGGCCATAGTATCATGTCCTCATGCAAGATTACAAATATCACACCACTGCGCCCCCTCCCCCCCCCCCCCCACCCCCCNCCGGCTTATCCTTGACCCGGTGCACATCTTGTAAGCATAATAATGGTTCTTTGGCCACCTACTAATAGGAAATTTGATACATATTAACGTATGATTCTTGAGTTCTTTTATTAATCTAAACAATACACCAATGAAATTACTTTAAAAAATGCCCATGCCTTTTCTTGTATGGTATCTTTATACTTAACAAAGATATATATTCTTCAATTGAAACCCTTTACTATAAGTTTAATGCCCTTGATTCAGTATTGAAAAATCAAACTATGTAACCATAGTTTGTGTATAAATGTTGTTCTTTCACGAGTGGAAAGTTAAAAGAGCATAGATTATATATTTTTTTGTCTTCAAATGAAATGTGTTAACTAGTTCTTTTTGAAAACGTTCTAAGAATGGCCTAATTTTTTAATTTTTTTTCGGATAGCTTTAAATAATATCAATACCTGGTCAATATGTCAATTTATATATATATATATATATATATAAATTCTGGGACAATTAATGAAAGGTTGTTTCATATTTCATAAAAAAAGATTAGTTGATCAAATGGACATTTCAATACAAATTTTTTAAAATGGCAAACAGTATTTAGACCATTACCTAGTGAGAAAGTACCCCCCAAAATTTTCACATGAAATAATATACTACATTTTGTTGAGGACCCTATACAAAAGAGGAAGAACAATATGAAAATCTCCCCCCCCTCCCCCCCCCCCAATTGTAACCCAAAGATTTAACTAGATAAACAGATCTGTCAGAGGCCACATGATGTCATTGTAGAAAGTGAACTCAAAAACACAGTGTATAATCTTGCTCCCCAAAATTTTCACATGAAATAATATACTACATTTTGTTGAGGACCCTATACAAAAGAGGAAGAACAATATGAAAATCCCCCCCCCCTCCCCCCCCCCCAATTGTAACCCAAAGATTTAACTAGATAAACAGATCTGTCAGAGGCCACATGATGTCATTGTAGAAAGTGAACTCAAAAACACAGTGTATAATCTTGCAACTTAAATAAAAATATTTTAGTACCAGCTTTTCAGATGAAAATAAAATGCATATTCTTTACCTTGAATATTAAAAAACAATTTTTAAATTTAATGTTTTCTTTTTTCTGATATATTTTCAAAAGCAATAAGAATATTTTAAATTACACTGGCTCCTTCTGACCACATTAAATGAATATTTTACATAACATTAAATACAAGGGTTTGCAGATCATGGGGTAATTTTCCCAGACCAAGTGCTAGGGTTAAATGTTTAATAATTGTTGGAGAATTAATTAATAATTCTCACTCAATGATGATAATAATTATTAATTCCTCAAACAGTAGCCCTATAATTGTTATAAAGTATGTTATATTAATTTCTATATTTTCGTTTTCAAAGCACAGTTCATATTTTCATTATAAGTAATCAGTAGCCGATTGATCGTCTTTTACCTATATGTCAATGCAGAGTATTGGTAACCAGCCAAATTGTTTATAGGTGCAACCCTAGTATGAAACAGTGTTTTGGAATGTTTTCTTAACTGATAAGTACCTTGTGTATACCCTGATGCACATTTCCTGGCTCCCAAATTCACCTTCAACCCTTTCCTTGTTAAGTACTCTTAATTACATTATTATGTAATCTGATGGTCAATTCATTTAGTTTAAGTGGTAGTCCAATCTATCATTATTTTTGTAAATATCAAATATTGAATTAAACATGTATAAAAGTTATTATATTCATGAAGGAATAACCTATATTAACTTTAAATGTGTTATCCATTTCCATTGTGTTTTTTTGCATTAAGCTTTTAGTACATTGAGGCTACTTTTAGCCAAAGAGACCCTATTTTGTTGGCTCAGTCAACTATGTTTGTGCGTTAAATGTACACAGCAAAAATTTTTCTTCATTTCCATCAAACTTAAACATAAATTGTGGTATTTTAATATGTACACTTAAGGCGATTCAGAAAAATTATTTTATTTTTTTAGCTTTGCATTTAACTTTACACAATGAGAGTAGGTCTGGTTCTGTCATAATAATTCCAGATTCAATTTTAAAATTGGCATTGGCCTTCTGATTCAAATATTAAATTATCATGGGGAACTTTTTGTAAGTAGTATAAACCTTAATGGACTTCCTATCATCCTGTAGAACATTTACACTCCACTTGATTGCTACTGAAAGATCCATTGTGCATACTGATTAAACTTATATAAAATCTATACGTATATATATATAAAATCTAATATAATTCTGACAGTTGCAGTTGATACCGAAATCCTAAAAAATTTTAATTTATACTTTAATTTTGCTAGTTGCCACTATCAGTATTAAGACACATTGGAAATATTTATTTATTCCATTTAATTGGAATGGTTGGTCATTGTTAATTATTTTTAAAGTTTTTTCATTTATCTCTATAACTATAAGTATTCAAAATGAATATCAATTTTTTTTTATTCCCTTTTTTTGTAATATTTGTAATAAGACTGTAATATATATATATAAATACACAATGATATATTGTAAAACAACATTTGAGAGCTGTATTATATTTAAAAAATATTGCATATTAAATATTCTTTAAACAATTTTCTTATTTGGCATATAATTGACATATTTAGACATTAAAAAAATAATGTATCAAATTATATATTAAAAGTTGGTCCCAATTTTTTTTTTTTTAAAGATAATCACTGCTTAATATTTTCACATTTGCCCCTTTCACCTATTTTTGTTTTGTTTTATTTAAAATTACATTGTATTTTACAGGTGTTTTATGACTTGATGCGTGAGATACGTTCACGTAAAATGGAAGCAAGCAGGCAGAGCAATGGTAAACAGAAAAAAAAGAAAGAGAATGGAAAAAAGAAATGTTTCATTTTATAGGCAACTGGAGACATTAACATTAACTCATTTTTTTAATGCACTAAACACCATCTAGACCGTATTGAAAATAAGAAAGTAATAAAAGTAGTAAATGAATCAAACATTGCAATATTTAACTTCTTATGTCTTGTTTTTCATTTGGCTTTTCATTTGTTATTATTGCAAATTAAATTTTAGCTTTTATGTTTTTGTTAAGTTAGGCTAGTGTTTTTTTATTTTTTTTATTTTTGGCTGTTATAATTAATATTGTTTAGCATGGCAGCTGCATAGTGTAATTTTATATTTTTTAATAATCTATTTGTGATTGAAGCTAGTGCTTAAAAATTTGGACATATATTCATGTCCTCTGGAATTAGTTTATTTTATACTTGCCCCATTTTTTTAAAAATTAAAAAATTACACAAAACCTTATCAATAATTAACTCTCTCACAAAGACTCTACTTATTTTTTTCCCTCCCATTGTTACTCAATATGCAATATTAATATTTAATTTATTTAGTTTATTCTTTTTTTTTTTTAAAGTGAATCCAATTCAATTAGGTTGAATATGAGATATCATGACATTGCAAAGCTTTTGCACTTGCTTGTTACCCATGAAATGAAATATTATGTTATATGTGTTTCCTTTGTGCTACTCAATATTTAAATAACTTAAATGAATTGGATTTATGGAATGAATGAATATGTAATTTATTGTTGGCATTTTTAGCAATAAGCTAAAGGATAAAGTAAATTCTTTAAAAAATAAAATTGAAATTAGATGTATATGTTTACATGTATATTTAAGGAACTCTAAATGAATCTGTCAATAATGCTTAGAATAGAAACCAACACATCTTTATCAGATTCTGTCTTGGTTCAATCAAGTGCTGCCACTGGGGTATAAATACTTAAATAATTATAATTCTCTTGATAATTGATGCTGCAATCAGATGGAAAAAAAATTGATTAAAAATATATATTTTAAGCACCTCATTGAAGTGTTTTAATAATAAATGATTTGTTACCTTTAGAGGCTAGAAATTCTAGGCTTTGGTATGAAACAGGAAAGTTAGCACAGCTCATTTTAAATCATAGTGTTGAAGATGTCATTTTTTAAAATCTAGAAATAGAGTGAGAGGGTTTTTTTCCTTAGTTTTTTTAGGCCTTCAAAGACTGACTGTGATTGCTGTGGCCTTTTTAATGCATATTGATTAAACTGATGCTGAATTTGTACCACATACATGTCCAGAGCTAAGCCAGAAATGCTACTTTTGTGTGTGCCAGATCAATGTTTAACATGTTGTTAATTTTCTGTTTTAAAAATCAGATGTACACATCTGTAAATGTTGAATTTGACTATGACCAAGTGGAAATCCCTTCCAAGCAGCAAATTGACAGGTGTTGTAAAGTTGACTGTTACATCCAAAGATTATTCCTTAAGTAGAATAAATTGGGAAAACTGGATGATAGGGACATTACACAATTCAGGAGACGTAATAAAATACCTATTTTGGTTGTAAATGTTATAATTGTTTCCATAGTTGTACAAATATGTACATTTTTTTTACTTTTCATGTTTGTCCACATCTATTGCAAGATTGAAATGAATGATAAAATAAAAATGTGTTGAGTGGTTGGTGTGCCATAGTTTTTTTATAACTGTTCCCTCTTATTGCTGCAACAGTATTAAGCAGTCCTTCATTTCAGTAGTGATTTGTTCTTAGTATAACTGTCAAAGCTCAACGAAAGCAGTTAATTCTTTTGATGAAAGAATCAGTTTAGATTTTAACCTTCTTTTAACAAAGTTTAAAAATTATTTTTTTTTAATATAAATGATATTTTGAATGTTATATACCATATTTATTGGAGTATAACACGCACCTTTTCTCCCTGAAAATAGGGGGCCAATGATGTGTGCATGTTATACGCCGATATAATGTTTATTTTTTTACCCTGAAATTTCCTTCTTAAATTGAGGTGCCTCTTATACGCGGGGGCGTGTTATACGCCAATAAATACGGTAATTAACATTTCTCGTGACAGCACCACCAAGGTTTTATTAAAGTGTAAATTCCATAACCGTATAATTATTACTATCATAAATTACTTTGAAATGATGTCATCCTGGCATGGAATTCACCCTGCTCAAGAATGGTAATTTTGGCCTAATTGTAGAACTAACATAGATGGGGGGAAAAAAAATTAATGACCTTAAATGACAACACACTGTCATGCATTTCTGTTCAAAATACAAGACTTTCCTGTATCTAAAAATTAACTTTATCTAAATGGCTCAAATTAAACTGCTATACATCGGAATATAGCCCCTCCTTTTATTTTATACGATAGAAATTTTTTACGAAATTGATGTCATGAACTAGTCACAATTTTTTAAAATAAAAATTTAAATTATAAGTCTATCTGTGTCTTTTGATACCTGCAATCTATCTTCATGAAACTTGATAACAGAATTTATTTATAACTTTGTTTTCAAAAAAATATCCTGATTTAAAATGGTTTTAACTTATCAATGTCATTTAAAGGAAATGTTTTCAGACACAATTTAAGTTACTAAGAAAGATTATTTGTATCAGGAAGATAATTAAGGTATTAGGTGATTGTTTTTGAACATTTTCAGTTGTGAAAATAAAGCCTTAGAAAAGTCTTGTTTTTCAAAGCTTACCTCTGTAAAATGTGTGCCCCATGATCAGGTAGCAAAGTTGCTTTTTATGCTGGTATTTCTTTTATATCAGTGTCTGGCAGTCAAGTAAAAGCAGTTTAATTGTGAGTTTAATGTTATCCTTTTAAAAGTCATGTTCATTATGAATATAAACGTAATAGTTTTTTTTCAATTTGTTAAAAGTTGCATTTTTCTTTTACACTGATTCCTAATGTACAGCTTCCAGAATATTTTTTATTTTCAATCATTCTTCATTTACTGTAAAGCTTGGTAAATATTACATCCATGCTTTGTGTATCCCTGATGGTATGTTACAAATATACTTAATTGACTGATTATGTTTTCACACTCTGATAGACTTCACATTTTGTGTCGACTTTTTAATTTACCATTTTGATTACTGTAAAAAAAAAATTCATCGTTTGTGCCCCCTGAAAATATAAAGTAAAGAAATTTGATTATAGTATAGCTACGGCATACGACAGACGGGACCATATTGCACCAAGTGCATTTTAGTAGTCGCTTAATATCAATAAAAGCAAAAAATAGCTTTGAATTACAGTTACACAAAATAATTTAAAAACGATTTGCAGCGTTTAAGTTAACAGTTGCAATTTAGTGACTGCTTTTACCAATTATTAATTAGGTTGTGCTTTTAATGAAGAGATACATCAAAAACATTGTCTTTTGTATTATCTAAAATCCCTGTAGGTAACAATACAAAAATTTACATAAAATCAAAGGACCACAAATGACTGTATGGTACTGCAATTATATGTTAACCTGCATTATCTCCTAACTGGGAAGAAGACAAATTATTTCTGTATTAGTTCTATCCAAATTTTAAGTAACAAAGTTATCATTTGTAACTTATGTTTAATACTGATAAACTTATTATTAGTACTAGTTGTTTTTTTTGTCTTCATTTTAGTTAAAGGTATTTATTTTGTAGGAGTTAAATTAAAATGGGATAGTATAGGCTGTTAAAAAAGCAATTTTGTTAACTAAATGTCTGAATTTATTTGTAAAAATATACCAAAATTATATTGTTTAATACCAAAGGCTCAGGACAGCAGATTTTGTATTCAAAAAAATTGTTGCCACATTCATTTTTTAAAAGTTTTTCATTTGTAAAGGTACAAGGACAAATAAAAATACTTCATTGTATAAATAATAAATCGTATTATTGCTCTAAAGTAGTGATGCTCAAAATTATTACAATGTGATTGGTGGTTAAAAATGGTACAGAAAGTACTAATCGCATTATTAATCAATTAGTTTTCCATAAAATGTAACACAAAATAGTTAAGAAAAAGTTTACCATTCTTTGGACCTCCTTGGAAAATGAAAAATATTATATTTGTGTAAATTGGTAGCTGAGATTAGATTAAGTTATTAGAATAGTCCATTGTTTGCAGAGTTATTTATTTTATTTAAGAGAATCTAATTAATTAAATAGGTACTGTAGTTAAAATAAATGAGGTTATCATAAGAACACAAACACAGTTATCAAATAATGCTTAATGATTCATTGGAAATGATGCTTTAAATCTTTTAACTACTTTGGTTAAAAGGAACATCTAAACTTGCATGTGACATGTCTTTTTTTATTTATTAAATCCAAACTTTTTAAAGTAATTTTTGTTTAAGTTGATGAGTGTGCCATTGCATTGCACTATGTGTTGAACTGATGTGCTAGCCTAAGCCAAGTGTGTTTGTTGCAAGTATGAATTTATTGTAAGCCTGTATTTGACTTCCCAATCCACTTAAGCATCATCCTTTCAGAAATCATAAGTGGATATTCATTTTTTTTTAAATGTGTATAAAGCTTGTAATTTATAATGAAGAGCACTCATCTTAATATCATTGTATTTCATTCAATTGTTTTATACCCATTTAATGTGTTGTTTTATTGTATTTATTTCATATATATATTATATATACAAAACATAATATTAAAAATGACAGTGAACATGCCTTTGACTTATCCATTTTGTAACTGTAATACTTCTTTACAGTTTAAACTAATTAAATTGATAATGCATCCCCTGAACACAAATAGGATGCACATAGAAGATAAAAACTAACCATTTTTCACAGGATTTTTAAAAATTAAATTGGTTGTGTAAGAACACAAGTCTTGTTAAAAATGTATGATTTTTGCAGAGCTTTACAATTAACTAAAAATTAAAATTCAGTACGACTTGTTTTTCCACAATTTATTGGTAAAAATGATACTTAAACTATAATATATATTATATATGTAACAAGTATAATAAAATTTCAGGCAAATGAAAACCATGTTTGTTTTTTTATAAAGGAAAAAACATATAGTCTTGTATATAAATAATATAAGAATTTTTCCTGATCTTTTTTTTTATAAATAGGTTTGTATATGTGTTCAATAATATATGTTTGAAATGGCATTGTAAATGTTTCTATTTATCAACTTCAAATGGGTGAAGTCAATGTACATGATGTTGGAATTATCAAACTGCTTATAATATATATATATATCTGGTAGCCGAGTAATGGATTGCTACAGAACTGAAATCTACCAATCATTAAATTATACATGAAGTTAAATTTTTAAGGGGGTTTGAGGAATAGATTGCAGCATATATTTCCACGAATTAAGTTTAAAAGAATGCGTTATTAATGGCGTAGCTGTTTAAGGGGGTTTGAGGAATAGATTGCAGCATATATTTCCACGAATTAAGTTTAAAAGAATGCGTTATTAATGGCGTAGCTGTTTATAGGCGGTATGGCATTTTCACAATGAAAATTCCAGCAATTCTTGCAGTGTGGAAGGCATAAAGTGCACAGTGAGACACAAGAAACACTGATGGTCCTCCACTGCATTATAGCCCATCTCCCAAGCATCTTGACCAAAGTCTTGTCATTAAAATAAAAAAAATTAAGAGGACAAGGGAGTGCGCAACTCTCCCTCACTTTAAAACGAAATACCGAGCAAGTCAATGTTACTACACAAGTCAACTAATATTCCTCGTCATCTTCGCAGGACAAACAATAATAATAAGATGTTGGTAGAAATTAATTCCTTAATTTTCATCTTTATACAAAACGTTTGTTTTTTTGTTGATGATATTTTCACTTTAAATACTTAAATTATTTAAATAAAAAAATAATTTTTTCTCAGTCACCAAAAACTGAAACATGTCAGCCTTAAATATAAGACCATAATTGTTACTGAAAACATGTGCACATAACTTTTAAGATCCTTGTGTCCAACTGCATATATTTGGGAGTTGTCCAGTCCTGATCTGGGCTTTCAGGTATTACTTCCTAGGTGTAAAATTGAAACTGCAGATTTGTCAGGTAAAACTAACAAAAACGGAACAAAGTTTTCACTGTTTTGGATATTAGCCTTATATGGCATTTGAAAAAAAATTAATTTCAATGCTGTCCATTTAACTTCTGAGTGAGCATGATAGAAGAACTTAAAGACAAGGCGACCTGATCAACCATGCACCAAAGTAGAGAAACTAACTAGGGCTAATAATAATAAGTAAGCATATAAAAAAATTCTTACATTAAGTTAAATTTGGCTCAGCTTTGCTACTATATGAAAGTTAGTTAGATGGGTTTATTTGTATTTTAGTTTGTAAGTATAGCTAATTTATTTTTAAACATTTTTTATAGAAGAAAAATCTGTAAATTTACATCTAAACCCATTTTTACTGGTCTTTTTAAATGGAAAATTGCAAACAACTACCAGTTTGAAGATCTTCCTTTTCTGCACTTAAACTTTATTAAAGTGACTTTGCAATAGACAAAATCAAATTAATCTATAAAATAAAGCTAATTTTTAAAAGTCTTAAGTACAGAAGATAAATGTGGTAAGCCAGAAAGTAAGCTGTCATATTTGTATATGTCACATCAACCATGCTGAGCAAAGCAAGCACATTGAATTTTCCAATAAATTTTTAAAAAGAGTTATTTGCTTTTAATATTTTTTCTGTAATGTAAAAGGCTCTTTCAGTGACAATGTCAAAAATTCCTGATTTGTTTAGCACATGTACACCAAAGTAATTATTTGTACATAGTATTAGTTTTGCTTATCCCAAGGTGGCTATTTAATTTCAGATGAGAAAAGATACATTTAAACATTTATATTTAATTTTAGATACTATTACAGAAACATTTGTAAATTAAAATCATGAAAGCACACATCATAGATAATAGGAATCAGTTTTTTTTAACTCAAGCAAATTGGAGTCTTGATAAATGACCCAACAATGGGATGGGAAACTCAAATCATTTCATGAGTATTATGACCATTATTTCATAAATAATATTCAGACATTTACCTGTAGAATGAACACGAAGAGACAAATATGAACATCAAAAATTATTAAATGCTTTTCACAGAAAAAAATTATAACCTAGTAAAGTGCACAGCCTGTTTAAATAATTATATCACAATGATAAAACACATTAAGAACATCAACAAAGCATTGAACCATAAAGAAAATGTGAATAGTGGACATCCATAAATGACATCATGCAACTAAAAAGGATTGGGGTGGGGGGGGGTGAAAATTAGGGGTGATCCATAAAGTACGACATGCATCTAGGCAGACACATTTTTTTGAAGAGGTGAAAGGGGTTAAACAATGTGAAAAATTCTTGAAAAGTTAAAGATTCTTGAATAAAATTGCATTTAATAACAATAAATTAGCCATAAAATTCGTTCAAACAAAATATTACAATGATTTTATTTTTAAAAGAATTATTACAGGTAGGCGAGGTTTGAGAACTGACACCTGATCAAGTTACAGGACGCGGAGGAGGAGAGTAGCATTGACATTTTGACAACCTTGACAGTTGTGAGAATTTATGATGAAATCTAGAGACGGGAGTTATAGATTTAGGCCTACCACATGAATTTAGTTGATGGGGGGGGGGGGGGGG